TGTTGAGAAAAAATGTTTGCCGCAAACTAAAAAACACTAAATATACATCTTTTATTTTTTTTCCATTCTATACCTGTTTATAGCACTTATAGTAGTGCACGTTTGCTCTTGCCTTAAACCAACTATCTGCTTCAAGAATCAGAAACTCTTCTAAACAAGGAATACTTAAGCAAACAACAGAAATATTTGCACTTGGAATTTTAATGTGCTAGTTCAGTAATCGTAATAGTGTAATTCTGTGATATTTAGCTGGTGATTACTGAAAGGTGCAGCAAGCATATCATGATATTATTTTCCATGTCTATTTCTTTAAATAGTACATATTTGTTTACGGTATTTTAATTATGAAATATCTTTCTTTTCCTTTATAGCTTCTTTTGGTAATGACAAAAGAATATTCCTTTTGCTGTGAGTTTGATCAGTCTAGTGGATGGGCTTGTTCGTTGCAATCAGCAAGCGGGTGTCAGTGGCCTTCAGGGGAGGAACAATACAATGGCAAATGTTACTGCAAACGAGCATGAAAATGAGAAAAGGCCAAAAGGACGTGCAAATTTTGGTGGTAGTTTTTCTATTATTGAAGGGGAGCCTTTTACAGCAACATTATGGGCTGGTGCAGAAGGGTTCCATATGACAGTAAATGGAAGGCATGATACGTCATTTGCATACAGAGAGGTGAGGTTGTCTAAAATGACAAAACTACATTTTCTAAGTGTATCGCATGATTGTGAAACCTGTTAAGTTTTTGATAGAGGCTGGAGCCATGGTCTGTAGCAGAAGTTAAGGTTTCTGGTGATCTGGAGCTCCTGTCAGTCTTGGCTAATGGATTGCCAGTTTCAGAAGAGGTGGACATGGCTAGTGTTGAGCTTATGAAGGCCCCACCTCTTTCAAAGAAGCGAATTTTTCTGCTGATTGGTGTTTTCTCGACTGGAAACAACTTCAAGCGTCGGATGGCTTTGAGGCGAACATGGATGCAATATGAGGCTGTCCGTTTAGGAGAAGTAGCCGTACGGTTTTTTACTGGTCTTGTAAGTTTGCTCTATTCACCATGTGTATAATTACTACATTCTTACTTCTTTCTGTTGCACTGTTTTCCTGTTCAATTACCTGTTTTGATTGATTGAAAAGTATACACCTTATTAAGGACTAGTTAGTTTCTACAGCCATGCATTTTGATACTAGGATTGCAACTTAATTTCTTAGTAAGAACCGATTACCATTAGAAGAAAAAGATTAAATGAAGGCTGAGAGGGATAGGATAAATTGGCTATTCACATTCCGTTGTATATCCTGAATAGGCTCGTACAGCCTTTACAGCTCCAGTGCAACTTGGTCAGCTATTACAACGGAAATTCAGAATGCCTAAAGAAAACCAAATGTGCAAAGCTGAACATTATGGCTGCTGTTTTTCCTTGGTTCTTCCTTGATTCGTGACAGTTACAAAGCTTTAATTTGTACAGATGTAACATGCCATTCCTATAATGAATATCCTATCAATGATAAATTGAAGGAACAGTTCTCTTGAGTTTCATTTTCATTCATCAGTAACATGCTTCTGTCTGATTTTATACTTTAGTATGTCAGTCCTTTTGTTTGCATTACAAATGCTCATACATAGTTCGAGCATTCTCTCTTAGTTGTATACCATATAATCAGATATTATCCTTATAACATTCTTGTATAAGTCTGACATTGTAGTAATTGATTCAACCTTACTAGATTGGATGATCATAGTTAGTGCATTACTGCCCTTAAAATAAGACCCTTCTTTCCTACATATAGTCTGACCTTTTTATCAAATGTGCTTTCCATAAGAAATTGTTTTGTATGTGAATTGCTGTCCCACTCTGTCACATCATAATATTTTATCCCAAAAATGCAGCATAAGAATGAGCAAGTTAATATGGAAATACTGAAAGAAGCTCAGATGTATGGTGATATCCAATTTATGCCGTTTGTTGACTATTATACCTTGATTACACTGAAGACCATTGCCATTTGCATGTTTGGGGTATGTATCCTCTTTCAGTTTTCAGCTTATAAGAACTTATTCTGCCTCTCTGCTATGTGGACCATCGTAACTAGATAGTCATGATTTTGTTGATAAAAAGTATTTGAAGATATCTTGGAATCATGTGCAAGGTCTTATATTCCTTTTATTGTTTAGATTAAAAACAATGCTTGGCCCTTTGTTTATCACTCTGAGAAATGCAAGGCCACATGTATATAGATGTTCATGCACAATATTATCCATCTAAAATGCTCTGATATTTGTGCAAGAAAATTATTAGAAGATGTGAATCTATCATTTGCTTTGGAAGTTTGACTCGAGGACGAATGACCAGTGGTTTTACTTGTGTTTGCCAAATTATGTTCAAAATTCTAGAGCCTTAATCTGAGTGGAAAATGCAATATTAGTATGTCACATCTCTGCTCTATCAGATGCAGGAATAAGCTCTATCAGATGCAGGAATAAATCTGAGTGAAAAATAGTGACGGATTGTTTTCTCTGTGCAGATTTACTTGTTATATTTTTTGACAGTTTTGGTACCCATTGTGCGTTGTATTCATACCTATCCATTTCATCGATTCCATGACTCAGCATGATACATTGTTTTTTATCCCACTGAACAAGTACAATAACCTAGCATGGTCGCATGCCCAAATAATGTGATGTTGGAAATGTAGCACAGAGTACCGTGCACTGGCTTATAAATTACACAAACCCAGTTGAATGCTTATTTGCTCCTGGCGGATATTAATCCTTTTGAAACTGTTGACCTGTTGCCTCTGTGGCTCTGATGTCAACATATAGGATGAAGGATGGTAGTGTTTTTTTTTTTTTGGCAAACTATGCTATTTCTACTTTCTAGTATACAAATAGTGTGGCATAACTATGTAGCTTTTAGCACTATCAGAAGGAACATTTGAATTGTTTTTTTTTCTCATCACATCTTTTGACAGAACATCAAACTGAAGAGGTTGAGGCACAGGGCATTTCTGCATTGTTACTTTGTTGGGACAAGATAGAACTTTGCCATGATTTGCTTGTCACACATGATTCGTACATTAAGTAATCCATACACCTTCATGGATGTAGCACCTCACAAATCCCTAATATGAGCTATAGCAAATGTATGCGCATCCTAAACTTATATTTGCCTTTTGCCAATCTGCAGACCAAAGTTGTTCCTGCAAAGTACATCATGAAAACAGATGATGATGCTTTTGTTAGGATTGATGAAGTCATCTCAAGCCTGAAGAAGAGTGACCCTCATGGACTTCTGTATGGTCTTATTTCTTTCCAGTCTTCACCACATAGAAACAAGGATAGCAAATGGTTCATCAGTCCAAAGGTACTGTCTATTGCAGTTATCCTGTACCAAGATTTATTTATTTAGGCAGCTCTTCTGACATATCACATATGAGAAATGCAGGAATGGCCTGTTGAAGCATATCCACCATGGGCTCATGGCCCTGGATATATAGTCTCAAGGGACATTGCAAAGTTTATTGTTCATGGTCATCAAGAACGAACTCTTCAGGTAACAACACTTTCTAACGATACAAATGGACTTCTTTTTTTAAAAAAAAGAGATTGTCAGCCATGCAGCTCTTAATCTGCTGCTTCATGTTTCTAATTGCATCAGTTATTCAAACTTGAAGATGTGGCAATGGGTATCTGGATACAACAGTACAAAAACAGTGGCCAGAAAGTAAATTATGTGAATGATGACCGCTTCTATAGCGAAGGATGTGACTCCGATTATGTGCTTGCCCACTATCAGAGCCCGAGGCTTATGATGTGTTTGTGGGAGAAGCTTCAAAAGGAGTATCAGCCGGTATGTTGTGAATAGTTTCTGCATCAGCGCCAACAATAGCGACAGGTAGTGAAGTCTCAAGTTGTGGTAGGCTAGTTTTCTTGTTGTTGTACAATGTATTGCCACGATTGTTTTGTTCGATGGCAAGTTTGTTGGGGATCAATAGGTTTGGTTTTGTAGAGGAAAATATTGATCCATGTATACGAAATTACGAGCTGGAAGACAAAAAAATGTTTTACAATGGATCTCCAACTGTTCTGGATGATTCCATTCAGAAGTTGATGGCCAATCTGGCATGCAAAAAATGTGCACTAGACCTTTTCCTATCCTCTCAAATTTGGAAGGATTTGGGCAACTCAGATGGCCAAGATTGGGGTACAGATGGTACACTGGGGAATGGCTGGAAAATAAGATTTTGGGAAGATAATTGGCTGGGCTCTGCAAGCTTAGCTATTTTATTATGAGATGTCTACGTACTTCCTCCGTCCCAAAAAAAAGAACCAACCAGGGTTTTCAATTTCGATTTCAGCTAAAATTTCGGCCATTTCGGTAGAACCGAAATTTCAGAGATTTCAGTATTTTTTTGGGCCAAAATTTTCTGAAATTTTGACACAATTTAATTGAATTTGACTAAATTCACAAAATTCGAGAAAAACCGAAAATTTTGGCCAAGATATTGACTTGCCCAGGGGGGGGGTTCGAAATTAAATTACTGAAATTTCAATCCCTGCCTCGTACTAGGATGTAAGTTGTTACTAGGATATGTAAGTGGTCGACGGTGTCGAAATTGGGGACTTTGTTCACACAATGAGGAGTGGGGATGGCTGAACAAATATCTGCATCCTCCACGTTGCTTGCTTGCAGCATATTTGAAATCATTGAGATCCCTAGCCACCAGATTTGGCCTTGCCGAACTCTTCATTGTTGTCTCTTGGAGAACCAGTGTCCATAATCATCGCCATCCTTTTAGCTCAGATTTAATACCCTTACTAATATCGACGGGTACTAGGTATGGTACCTATTGGTATCTGTCTAGTACCAATAAGTATCGTCGAGTACGAAAGAGGTATAGTTGGTACCTGAGGGGTATCAAAATGATATCTATAGGGTACCAAATCTGATACACCATCAATACTATCGAGAGAGTCATTTTAAACCGGTTTTAATGGTTGGATGGTGGATATATCTGTTTTTACGATTGAGAGATACAAATTAGATCCGATTTATAATTGAGTTTCCATCAAATCATGGCAAAGGCATATTTATGTTGTACTACCTAGTGTCATAAGGCCCCGGGTAGATTATTCAAATCTTAACTAAATTATTCTATATTAATTAAATAATTTATATGCCAGACCTCAGTAATTTTTGTTATGCAGCCTGTTCACGGTTTGGGTACAAACCGTTCAACCCGTGAAACCAAACCAACCCAAACCGTTTTTCCAATTTTTCACGGGTTGGTTTAGAACCGCCGTAACCCGTTGAACCCGTGTCTCGTCCTTCTTCTTCCTCCGGACCTGCGCTGAGCTTCTGCGGTAGCAAGACGCCATGGCGAAGGCATCTGAGGCAACCAAGCAAGCATCGGCTATTTAGCTCGCACGTAAGTGCACAGCCCCATAGACGTTGGTGCCGGCGGCGCCGATGCCGGCGACGACGCCGAGGCAGCCAAACGGCGGCTCCCATCCGAGGAGGAAACAATCGCTAGCTCGCCGCGCCGCCGGCGTCCTGCCGTCCTGCTTGCTGCCTGCCTGCCTCCATCGCTTGGAAAGGCTACGAGCCATGGTGCAATCAGCTGCTATTGAGCTTGGAAGGACAGCCATGGCTGTGTTGCTGTTCTTCTGATCCCCTTCTTTCACGTACGCAGGAAGAAAGAAACTTTCTACGGTTTAACCCGTCAAACCCGTTAAAACCAAACCGTATGAACCGGTATTTCCGGGTTGGTCCGGCTTTTCTGACCAAACCGCCAAAAACCGTCGATGAACACCCTGATTCTCTCTAATAAATCATTAGTATGGCATCTGTTGTCAGGTTTGAGCCTGCTGTACTTTACCGGCGCTGCTACTGAGTCCACTTGGAGTCGGCGGGGAAGTCGGGCCAGTTAGACCGACTCGAACACCGGGGCCGCTCCGCCTATAGTACGTGTGTATATATAGGCACGGTCATGTTAAAGAAAAAAAACAACATCCTGTACTCCATCGACGATGGATGTAGAAATCCCCTCCGACCACCGGGACCTGCTCGTCACCGTCTTCACCGCGCTGGAGATCCCCGATCTCATCTGCCGCGCCGCCTGGGCCTCTGCCGCAACAGCCATGGCCCCTGCCTCCTCACCACCTCCCCCACCGGCGTCGCCACCCTCCGCCGCCTCTCCACCGGCAACCTCTACCGCGTCCCGCTCCCGGACATGCCCCCCTCCGCTTGCTCTACGCCGTTCGCAGCTGCGGTGAGATCCAAACCATCGATTTCAGTGGCTCGGCTGCTCCAGTGGTCAACTGCATTTGTGTCCCTCTGAAACATTCCTTCGACCGCGCCAGCTATATTGTTCGGGCACCATGGGGTGACATCCTCCAGGTGTGGAGGAGCTTTGAGCTCGACGATGGCGAGGAGCCCCGCACATATGAACTCGCGGTGTTCAAGCTTGATCTTGCTACGGAGGATCTAGTGCAGATAAAGGATCTGCGTGGCCACGCTCTGTTTGTTAGCTTCTTCGTTTCTGTGAATGAATTCCCCGTGTTAACTCCGAATTGCGTCTACCTTGCTCATGATAGCACCAAGTGTAGGAGATTTAAGCATATTGCAAAGGCGGTCAGGGTGTACAACTTACAAGATGATACTTTCGCTGATCAGTACACTCAGAGTTCCTGGAAGAACTGCCCCCCTCCTGCTCTTTGGTTTCAGCCTACATGGTCACTGAACAAATAATAATAAAGGTCAGCACTAGTTATCTTGTACCTTCATTTTCATTACTCCTATGCTTGATTTTTTTTGACAGCATTGTTTTCTACAATCCGAATTTTAGGAGTTGATATCTAGTATTCATTCATTCGCTCCAGTAACTAATGGTACATGTGTTTTACAATGCAAGTCCCTTACATATGAAGCACTTTTTAACTGCTAGTGGTCAGGGTAAAATAGTCAAATTTGGACACTTTTCATAAGGGTGACAGAATTGTTGCATCACCCTTTAAATTTTCAAATTTAAACTAAAGAAAAGCACAAACAGCTGCCTTGTTTGACATCAATTAAAGAGTAGCTTTTGCAAAACAACATATATTTTCATAAAGCTATTGCAAAACTCTAAATTTAAGCGACAACATCACAAAATTACAGATCTAACACTGAATTTATCACTAAACTACAGACCTAGGCAATGGTGTCCAAAAATTACTGATTTTGTAATGAATATTTCAAACTACAAATTTGAGAGGTCTGCCTTTGTCCCTGCCACATTATTGTCTTGATGGGACACTAAAATCTTTGGTTTTGCAATAAATGCTTTGCTAAATCTTGTATTGATGGAACATAATAAATCTGTAGTCTTGCGATGTATTTATAATTTATTGCTAAATCTGTAGTTTTTACAACACTATGGCTTACTGTTGTATGATTTTTATTTGTCATAATATTTGCAGTTTCATGTAAAGTACACTAAATTAAATCTTTTTTTTCAAAAAAAAAATTCTTCTACTTTTAGTTGGATTGAATAGAAAACAGCAATGACTAGCTTCGATAACATGAGTTACTAGTTTTACTGGAAACTGGTTTTGGTCATCCATTATTTTGTATGTTAACCAACAGAACAGAAATTTTCCAGCCCAGGAAAAAAAAGGCAGCTTCCAGATCTTAGGCTGGGTGGGTCAATTTTTATGGTCTTTTTAGGCTGATTGCCTGATTGTCATGGGGTTTTTTGATATTGTATACTGGACATTTCCTTTATTTTCTTTGTACATTTGTGGCACAAAACATAAATTAAAGGCATCTAGGCAATAACACAAAGCAAAGCCTTGGTGTACATATATTTTCAGAAGCAATAAGATTTTCAGAAACATAAATCCACAGCTTCAGATTTGTTTTTTTCTTTAGACAGGAATTTGTGTTGGTTATCGAAAGAGCAAAGCCTTGGTGTACATATATTTTCAGAAGCAATAAGATTTTCAGAAACATAAATCCACAGCTTCAGATTTGTTTTTCTTTCTTTAGACAGGAATTTGTGTTGGTTATCGAAAGAGCAAAGCCTTCTTATCTCCCAAACATACAACAATGGATAGACAATCTGTAGAAACCCTGTAAATTGTACATATATGTTTTTAAGTAAATTGTACATATATGTTTTTAATATATTCACTGTAGGAAACTTTCCTACAGTATTTTTCCTCAAATAAAACACACACACGAAGCAAAGCATCGGCGGCACCTATCCTTCCATGTGGGCAAGGCTATCCAAATCAGTTAAGTCAAGGGGTGGGGCCTTAGGGTTCAGGGTTGCACGCGGAAGGAACAGTTCTCTTGGGCTTGATTTTCATTCAACTGTAACATGCTTCCCTCTGATTTTATACTTTACCATGTCAGTCCTTTTGTTTGCATTACTAATGCTCAAACATAGTTGGAGCACTTTCTTTTAGTTGTATATACCGTATAATCGGCTATTATCCTTGTAACATTTCTGGTATAAGTTTGGCATTGTAGTGATGGATTCAACCTTACTAGATTGGATGATTATAGTTAGTGCATTACTGCCCTAAAAATAAGGCCCTTCTTTCCTACATACAATCTGACCTTTTTATCGAGAGGAATCAAATGTGCTTTCCATATGCAATTGTTTTAGATGTGAATTGCTGTTTCATTCTGTCACATCATAACATTTTATCCCAAAATGCAGCATAAGAATGGAGCAAGTCAACATGGAAATATTGAAATTCCTCAAGATGTATGGTGATATTCAATTAATGCCGTTTGTTGACTACTATACCTTGATAACTCTGAAGACCATTGCCATTTCCATGTTTGGGGTATGTATCCTCTCTCAGTTCATCTTATAGGAACTTATTCTGCCTCTACTTTGTAAACCATCATAACTAGATAGTCATGATTTTGTTGATAAAAAGTCATGATTTTGTTGATAAAAAGTATCTGAAGGTATCTTGAAAGCATGTGCTAGGTCTTATATGCCTTTTATTGTTTAGATGATTAAAAAACGATGTTTGGCCAGGTTTGTCACTCTGAGAAAAGCAAGGTCACATGTAGATTGAATTATAGATGTCCACGGACAATGTTATCCATCTAAAATGCTCTGATATTTGTGCAAGAAAATTATTAGCAGATGTGAATCTATCATTTGCTTTGGAAGTTTTGACTCAAGGATGACTCAGATGGACAGAGGTTTTACTTGTTTTGCTAAATTGTGTTAAAAACATTAGAGCCTTGATCTGAGTGGAGAATTGCAATATTGGTATGTCACGACTCACATCTCTGCCCTATCAGATGCCGGAATTAGCTGTTAAAAACTTAAAAATAGTGATGGATTGTTTATTTTTCTGTGCAGATTTACTTGTTATATTTTTGACAATCTTTTTGCACCCTTGTGCATTGTATTGAACCTATTCGTTTCATCGATTCCTGGGCTCAGCAAGATAGATTGTTCTTTAGCCCACTGAACAAGTACTACCTAGTATGGTCGCATGTCCAAATAATCGATGTTGGAAATGGAGCACCGAGTACAGTGCACTGGCTTATATTACCCAACCCAGTGAATGCTTGTTTGCTCCTGGCAGATATTAATACTTTTGAAACTATTGACTGTGTTGCCTGTGTGGCTCTGATGTCAACATATAGGATAAAGGATGGTAGTGTTTTTTCTTTTAGGGTTTAGGTTTTTTTTTTGTTTTTTGTTTTTTTTTTTTTGCAAACTATGCTACTTCTACTTTCCAGTATACGAATAGTGTGGCATGACTATGTAGCTTTTAACACTATCAGAAGGAATAATTGAGTTGTAAATTTTTTTTGTCAGCGCATCTTTTGACAGACTAATTGAACAGGTTGAGGCACCAGGCATTTCTGCATTGCTACTTTGTTGGGACAAGATAGAACTTTGCCATCATTTGCTTTGGCACACATGATTGCGTACATGAAGTAATCCATAAACCTTCATGGATGTAGCAAAGCTTTCAGAATAGACCCATCAACCTTCTTTCATCAGCCAATAACTAGTTAGATCCTACCCAAATTCACTCCGGACTCAAACTAAGGTGGTGTTTGAATGTCCTGAAGATGAAGATTAAGATTAAGATTAAGTGTTTCACGCAAAATGAGATGGTAGTAACATGTGGTTACTTGAGTTTTAATTATTACATACTTGAAAAATGTATTAATCTGATATTTTAGAGCAACTTTCATATAGAAAGTTTTTGCACGAAACGCACCGTTTAGCAGTTTCAAAAGCGTGCCACGAGAATCTAAAATTTCATCCAGCAATTGTTGGGCATTCCAACGCAACCTAACAATAGCAGACTTGGTGAGGTACTTTCATTAGCCAATAACTGTAATTGTCCTAGAGGGGCATGTCGCCGGCGAGCTTGACCTGCAACTGCTCGGCGAGGTCGTGGAACTCGCCGGGGATATATACCACGGCGAGGTCGTGGAACTCGCCGGGGATATATACCATCTCAATTTGTGCGGGGAGCTGGAGAAGGAGGTCGGACGCCACCGGGCTTGGCCCTGCTTCTTCCATGCTGCCCCCTCAAACCTCCACAGTGAGCGACGGGGAGCTCGGGGTCCTGTGGTTGCGGTCTCTTCTCCCTCTCAACCAGTGGCCGCAGTAGCCTGGTGTCCGGACTATATTCGCACTGGTTTTTAAAGTTAGGCGAAGCGTTATGAGTTGAGTTGAGGGATACAATTTGATTAGGGATAAGAGATGGGAAAGATAAAATAGACTTATTCCTCTGCTTTATGCATAACATAGACCTTTTCTTAGCCGGAATAAGTTCACTCTAGTTCCCTCATTTTAACGCGGAGTTTGAATCACGTAATTTAACCGCAATACCAGATATAACATATCCCTTAACTTACAAAATCGATATGCTCGAGGCCTCAAGTCGGTATAGCGCTTAGTTTTGACTTATATGATGAGTGGGATCTACAAGTGCCTCCCATGTCAATGACCATCTACTCGTTCGACGTCGAGGAGATCGTCGTCGACGCACTACCAAGGCTGGAGGTGATCGAGTTCGGTTTCTGGTGAAGCTCCGCACTTCCGCATCGTGGCATGGTCCCACGGAGCGGCGTCCTTCCTGCCAGAGACCAAGAACATGCCCATAGAGGAGATTTGTTTGGAAGGTGCGCTGGTACTAGGCAGATCCATCCACGATGAGGGTGTGCACGTAGGCACCGTCGTTGAGATGCTCGTCGCCGCCAGCCACAACGGCAAGGTTGATCCGGCCAATCTCTCCAACTGATGACCTCAGACTACTCCAAATGAACGAGAAAAAACGACGATAGTTGCAATGTGAACAAGCTAGGATTGCACGACAAAAATGGTACTACTCCAATCGAACTGATACGTTCCCTCGGATCTTCGTACACGATCCACAACTCCTGGATGTCAATGTAGTACAACCACATGATCTTCCCACCTACTACTACTAGATTTATTTTTTATAGAACGGGGGAAGTATGCTGAACACAGCAGCATCCCACCACAGCCACCACTCTCTCCTGTATTCTCCCTCTTCCAATTGATTTCATGTATTCTCTCTAATTCTCTCTCTCCTGAATATCAATTAATTTGATTAGTTACAAGCAAATACCCATATCTGAAATTAAGGGGGCTTATTGTGATCTATAAGTGGGTTTTGCAGGTTAGCCACTTACACCCCTATCTGAAATATATTTTTTCCTGATAAATTGAAATATGTTCTCAGTTATATGATTATAGTTGACTTTTTGTCTAAATTGTATATTTGTCAACATAAACGTTTTACTATCTCATCTCATGGCAACGACTAATCAAAGAGGCTCACCTGGCCATCTCTGAATAACGAAACATAAAGTTGTTGGAATACCAACAACAATGCATATAGCAATTAAGCTCTTAATCTTCTACTAAAGCTATTTTATCTCAGCATTCGATCCTTTGTATACTCTTTCATTCACTGGGAATGCTATTCCTGATTCATCGATATGCTCATTTAGCGGACCGGCAGCGCTTGGCAGTCTTGCCATGCATCCAGTTGATGTATCTGCACATATGAGTCAGTAACATATGAGTTTTTTTTTATCGCTGACAGGGTAAATATTATCTGCACATATGAGTCAGTAACATATGAGTTTTTTTTATCGCTGACAGGGTGAATATTATCTGCACATATGAGTCAGTAATATATGAGTTTTTTTTATCGCTGACAGGGTAAATACATATACGTGTTACATATGTGAGTCATGGCCCATCACAGATGAGGGGTTATGTTATTATGTGTTGGTCTTATTTTGTGGACTAATGTAAACTTAAATTGAAATTGGGTTTGTTGGATCTTCAGCATAGCAAAGTTATGAACCGAAGCCCAAGAAAAATGGCTGATGGAATGTGACAGAATGAGAAAGCAATTGTTGTCTTGGATGGTTGTGAGAGTAGAGATCACAAATTGATTTGTGAGGGCAGCCTCTCTCCAGGGTCTCAGTGGTTCTACATGGACCAACATCATATCCTCTACTGGATTAGGTATGAACTGTGAACCAGCAACTTCACTCTCCTCTCTCTCTCTCAACTGCACAAATAGTCTATGCACTTTACATTTGCAAGGTTCCACATAAGAAAAGTGCAGGATCCCAATAATGTAAATCTAGAAATTTGGTTTACATGGAAAGAAGAGAGAGAGAGAGAGATTGAACATTAACAATCACACACCAATAATTTATCTGCATTTTTAAGTAAAAAATCATAACAAAAGCGCTAACGTTTTCTCCTCAACAGGCCAAAATGTTCTAATGTTTCGCTGATTAAAATAAAGTGAAACCACCAAACTTTTCAAATGACGATTTAGCTAAGCAAAAGTCACCAATTATCAGAGAGATCATAGGAGGGTTTTTTTTTTAAGATGTGGAGTAGTTGGAATAAATTACTACAACATCTTATTTTATTTTATTTTTGGTTGGTGAGCGAGCGAGCCCATCCCTTCCCTTCTGCATCGTACGGCCAGGATCTCTCGACAGGAAAAACCCTATCTGCTCGGGCCCCACCCGGCAGCCGCTTCCCATTTCGCTTCCCCTTCCACCTTCTCCTCCTCCTCTCTCTCCTCTTCTCCTCTTTCTTGGAGCAAAAGAAGAAAAAAAAATAAATCCAATAACACCACAAGGAGCCCGAAGCGAGGAGAGAGAGAGAGATGGCGCTCGCAATCCTGGCGAGGAGGCGGGCGGCGGAGGCGCTGCTGCGGCGGCCGCTGGGGGCGGCGGGGGTGTCGGCGCTGAGGGCGTCGTACGCGGCGGTGGCGGGGGAGGAGAGCGACGTGGTGGTGGTGGGCGGCGGGCCGGGAGGGTACGTGGCGGCGATCAAGGCGGCGCAGCTGGGGCTCAAGACCACCTGCATCGAGAAGAGGGGCACCCTCGGCGGGACATGCCTCAACGTCGGCTGCATCCCCTCCAAGGTGACCACGACGATGCTCTCCCCCTCGTCCCTCCCCCTCTTTTTCGATCTCCTCTCTACTGTCTTGCGGGTTCGGTTGAGGTGGATGCGATTTTAGATCTACGTTTTCCAACCTTATTATTTCGGGTTGATTGATGGTATCTGCTGGTAGGGCGAGTTGTTGCGATGCGCGTTGAATTGAAATTCTGGTCGTGCGGAGGATACGCGTAATTTCGAGGAGCATTTTGCGCTGTGTGGTTAGATTTGAGTTCCCTTGTTAATATTTTGGCATGAATGGTCTGCATATGTGTGACATCTGATGTAATTTGGTGTTTCAAATTTACTGTCAAGCATTTGAATTATAGAGGAGTAATGCCTTTTGTGCAATATGCTGCATAATTGTAGTCTTTTGGATTCTTAATCTTGTACCCGTCCATTTGAAAATTCCTGGAAGACACCTTTCCTAGAGTGTTGTTAAAATTCTGCCAACTCGATGGTTGGGTGGTTGCCATCCATCTAATAAACAAAATAATCCTAAATTGATGGCACAGCATCGTCCTAATCTGATAAACAAAATAATCTTAAATTGGTTAACTGGTGTAAACCAATAGGATTAACACAACTGATGTGTTATGGCTCAACAGATCGTTACTAATCAACAGGTGCTGCATATTTCGTTTTCATATGGTGGCACGAGTCCTTACTGTATTTGAACTTTTCTTCTTGGCATCATTTTGGACTTTGTTTGATGCCGTGGGCTATTTTGAACTGCAGTTTGGTTGCCCCGAGGTGTCATTATCATGATACTTTGTACCGTAGTTATATTGCATCCAGTTAACAGTTAGTTTCTTAATTGTCCTTTTTCTTGAGACTTGTTTCTTTACTGTTTTATGCTATGCGTGAGACTATCCCTTGCACACATATTATGCTATACGTAACTAACTTTTGAGCTTTTAACAGTTCTGCGCCTTTGACCTTTTCTACCATGTCTATGAGAGTTTGCACTTGGTTAAATTCCTATTCACTTAGATAACTATTATTTGTTTGTTTGCAATGAATCCAAGTGGATCTAAGTTCACCTGTATTACATTGCAGTATAGTGTTATCAGATAAGTTCTTTTGGCACCAGAATACTGTTCCTGTGCTAAAAGTTGTTGATCTCTCACTTTCTGTGTGATCAGGAACTAAGCAAACTTATCCCATCCTCCATATAGTTCCATTATTTGGTTTGGGCTCTTTCAATGCTTTTCTTTGGTTCATTATGAAAGTAGATGCTTGTTTTATTTTTATACATACGTGCTGAGCATCTTCATGTGGGACTAAACATCTTGCTTCTTATAGCTCGATATAAGAGTTATGCTGTCCTTGGAGTCTTGGACCATTCTCCATGTAGAGGAATATTTTCTTTTCTGGATATAAGATGAACACTTCTATCAAAGATCTAAACTAATCACTATAGTTATTTTATATGCTTTACTGCAGATACATAAGTACATAACTATTCGCATTGGTGACCTGTCTCGATAGATGTGCTTTTTTGGGAACACTTCTAACTTACACCCATGCTTCTAATCTCCAGGCTCTGTTGCACTCATCTCATATGTACCATGAAGCAAAAAGTTCCTTTGCACACCATGGAGTGAAATTTTCCAATCTGGAGGTAGACCTCCCAGCTATGATGGCACAGAAAGACAAGGCTGTGGCAGGCCTGACTAAGGGGATTGAAGGTCTCTTCAAGAAGAACAAAGTGACGTATGTCAAAGGCTTTGGGAAACTTGCTTCGCCCTCAGAGGTGTCTGTTGATCTGAGCGATGGTGGCAGCACAGTTGTCAAAGGGAAAAACATAATCATTGCTACAGGGTCTGATGTAAAATCACTCCCTGGAGTCACAATTGATGAGAAGAAAATCGTCTCATCTACTGGGGCCTTGTGCTTGTCAGAGATTCCAAAGAAATTGGTGGTTATTGGAGCAGGTTACATTGGTCTGGAGATGGGTTCGGTCTGGAACCGCCTTGGTTCAGAGGTCACCGTTGTTGAATTTGCCCCAGATATAGTTCCATCAATGGATGGTGAAGTCAGGAAGCAGTTCCAGCGCATGTTGGAGAAGCAGAAGATGAAGTTCATGCTCAAGACAAAGGTAGTTGGGGTTGATACCTCCGGAGATGGTGTGAAGCTAACACTTGAACCTGCAGCTGGAGGTGAGCAGAGTGTCATTGAAGCTGATATTGTATTGGTTTCTGCTGGAAGAGTCCCATATACTGCTGGTATTGGGTTGGAAAGTGTTGGTGTTGAGACAGACAAAGCTGGCAGGATCCTCGTGGATAAGCGCTTCATGACTAACGTCAATGGAGTCTATGCAATTGGGGATGCCATCCCTGGGCCCATGCTTGCCCACAAAGCTGAAGAGGATGGTGTTGCCTGTGTTGAGTTCATTGCTGGCAAGGAGGGGCACGTCGACTATGACACAGTGCCTGGTGTGGTCTATACACATCCAGAGGTCGCGTCTGTTGGAAAGACTGAAGAGCAGGTGAAAGCTTTAGGAATTCCCTACCGTGTTGGCAAATTTCCGCTGTTGGCAAACAGCCGTGCAAAGGCCATTGACGATGCTGAGGGCTTGGTGAAGGTGGTGGCTGAGAAGGAAACTGACAAGATTCTGGGCGTGCATATCATGGCTCCCGGTGCTGGAGAGATAATACATGAGGCTGTCCTTGCTTTGCAGTATGGAGCATCAAGTGAGGACATAGCTCGTACATGCCACGCTCATCCCACCGTGAGCGAAGCCTTGAAGGAGGCCTGCCTGCAAACCTTCACAAAGGCGATTCACATTTAAGTTCTGTTTTGCTTTTAACATCCAAACTGCTTGGCTTCACAAATTCCAAAATTTTGTAATAATTTTGGATATATGGGATCAAAAAGCCACTGTCTGTCATTTTACTCTCGTTCGTGATGCTGTGAATTGACACTAGTTGCCACAGCCAATAGTATATGCTATTGATTCCATTCCCTTAGATGCTATACATCATTCTCTAAGATATGAAGCTGGATCTGTCATTTTGGTGTGTACTCACAAAAAAATGGGAAAACGTGCTGGATGAATGTCTAGCGCAAAACAATTTTTCTACAATATAAAGCTGGATCTGTCTCCAACAGTTGTACGGATTCATCGTCTGCTTTTTTCCATAGATTGCTGCCAGCCATTATCTGATGTGTATAACATGTCTTTCTTTTCCTCCATTGCAACAGTTGATCATATGCATCGTTGTGCGTGAGTTTGATCGATTTTCTTGTGCATTATGTGACGACGTGAGTTCCAGTTTAGGGTGTGTTTAGCTCCACGTCAAAATTGGAAGTTTGAAGAAAAAAGTTGGAAGTTTATGTGTGTAGAAAAGTTTCGATGTGATGGAAAAGTTGGAAGTTTGAAGAAAAAGTGAGAACTAAACAAGGGCTTATACTGGAAATATAGGCGTCCGATTACCTAAAAGAAAACAGCAGAGGTAATGCATCCGGCGACTGCTATTGCCTGAATGACAGTAAACAGCATGACAGCAAGAAAATAACCACAACTGGAGTCCGATGAACGTGCATTTTCTTTGGATGATCATTCTCGAAATCCAAAGATTTTGTCCAAATTCAAATGTGCGAGAACTGTCCTGCAAACATGCATTTATATTGCAAAGAGGACTCAGCGCAATTTGTCTCAGACAAAGGATGAATTGGCTTTGCCATACTATCAAAGTTTCATGTTCAATGCTGGTACATTTCATTGATTATAATGACCAAAAAGAATGGTCAACAATATGATTCTTTTATTTCAGTTTTATTTCTCATAGCAGTCAACTCTTGTAATTCCCTTTGGATGAATTTTCCACTGCATCTAGGGTGGCATTAGGTGGTCTACTGGTCTTTACATCGATTGTGACCTTCGCTGGGCTTCTCTTGAATGAGACTAAAATCCTTAGAAATGAGTATTCGAATGCAAATGATTGATTCCCGTCAAGGTTGAGGGATCTTGCTATATCGTTCCTTCGCAAACGTCGCGAAACGTTCTAAACCTTGCATAAGCAGCCCTTCCAGAAATGGCTTCAGTGCCTGTTATGGTAATTAGTTATATAAACTAATGAACTAGAAACAATGAACTACTGGATTATAACAATATTTGAAGTCTTAACATATGAGCATATGCAACTTACTGACGCAACAGGTGCCAAAATTTCAGGAACTTCATAAGCCACCGTCAGCTGCAGACAGTAACAAAAGCTCATATCGTAAACAAACTATAACCAAGTTTAAAATTAACGAGGAGTGTCACAGATTCACATGTCTGAATTCTCACTTGTACTCTGCAAGAGGATGAGCTTTTAGGAAAGAAACGAACAGCACCCCTACAAGAAGTAAAGTATAGGTTACCTTAACTTTCAAGGGTTATAAAAATTCAATTAACTGGCATATTGGATTATGAAAAAAAAAAAACTGCAGCAAACCCAACCAGCAGAGAGAAAGGTACTGATGAGAAACTGATATACAGATAGGGCTAAGTTAAAAAAAAAATATGGAATATGGATTTGTCATTTGTGGAATATATACTAATTTGGAAGACACTGATGACAAACTGATAGATAAATAGGACTGGTAATCTGGTATACAAATAGGAATAAATTAAATGAAAATAATAAGGATTTGTGTAGTATGTACCTATTTTGAAGACCTTCAAGAGATCGCCAATGGATCTTTTGGTTTTTAGTAGGCTGGTACCAAGAAGAAAGTGAGAATTTAAAAACCATAGTTTACTGCAGCTTTGTCATAATTCATAACAGGTACTTACTGTCATGTTTCGAGCTAGCCACGAAAATTCTACATCTCGACCAAGTATCTCATACTTCAAAGTCCAACGTGATTGATCTGGTTTATCTTCAAGGATCTGTAATAATTGTATGCATGCGATGCGTGTGTGTCAGTGTTAAAATTGAAAGAAAGTGGCATAGACTAATATATAAACAAAATCAAGTTAATGCAAAATCCTATAAGTTTAGCTACAACTAATGCTAATGTTACTGTTAGTGAATGATGGTTTGCTCTACAGCAAGGAAGTGCAGAAAACAACTGAAGTAATTCTACTAATATGACCAAGAGAAGGTTCTATAGTCATCAAGTGTGGAGTTTATAGGACATATAAGGTATAGAATTATACTCCAGTTTACAATTTGCGTTCACACCAAGGTATTCTGGACATGGTTATAAAGTGGAATGGTCTTCTATTTTGCCTAAAATTGGTATACTTTAACAGATTTTTGTTATCACAGTTACAACTAAGGTTCTTGTATTCACGAAAAAATTGCCTGCATGTAAAAAATGCTTATTTTTTAAAAGGTTAATTAGATAGAATCTATGGATTACTTATGTAGAAGGAAACAAGATCAAATTGTGCACTAATGTTACGGTGTTACCTTTTTTAAGATGTCAGTTATCGATCTTTTTTTTCCCATCACATCTTACATAACTTGTCGATTGTGCTTATACAGTAAAAACAAACATAAGTCCCATTGCAACAGATTTTCAACATAAAGATGTCCTATACAGGGATCTATTGTTTGGGATATTGGACTGAAAGAGATATCACCATGAGAACAACTGATCAGATAAGCATAATTGATTTTATTTTTTAGCGAACACGATAATCATCATTGATGAATTGATGACAGCAAGAAATCTGTCCAACTACCATTGGAAAAGCATGCAAGTCCTAAAGGGCATAAGTACCAATAACGGGGTTTGTGCAAACTGCTGAGTATATAAAAAGTTGTGTCATTCCGTGGTTACTTGAATCAGTTAAACTCTTGGTCTTATTTCTTTAAAAAAACTTTTCAGTTAATTACAAATAGGCAACTATCATTGTTTGATACTCACTTTTCATCGTGAAATCAGAATGGTGTATAGGTCAACTAAACTAATGGACCATAAGATATCATGTTTGTATTTGTCTTATGAAATAAAGCTAATGTTTTATTGTTCCTTTTATTTAGGTTAACGTTTTATTGTTCCTTCTTGTTTAGGTACTCATAACTCAGAGAAAGAAAGCATCATTGTTCATTTTCCATGGCAACGTAATGGTAAAATGTTTGCTGGCCACCAACCAAAGCATGGTAATGAAGAAAAATGGGAAGAAATATATTTTGAGCAAAGCTTAACAGGCACCTTGACAGATGAGATAAATGGCATCCATTGAGGAATGGTCTCACGTTCTGAGTAACACTGATAAGCCACTGAACAGGGAACATCGACTTCAATCTCGGTGCTATATCCATGACAATGTTCAATCATTAATTAATAATGTAGAAAATATGAAAATTGTAGGAAAACTAACAAATCTCTGTTGAACAGCTATTGCAATTAAATTCAGAAATAAGGTTATTTTAGACTAATTTCCTACAAAACACCCACTGCCCAAATGCCTGAAAGAATACAGCATGGTTTTACTTATTTCTTAGGACCTCAGCACACACATATCAAATACGTAGAGAATCAGATATTTAAAATGGGTATATATATTTTTTAAATATTTGCAAGTGCAATTATAACACGGAATTTTGCGTTCAGCTGAGGTCATATTGCAATTGGCCAAAAGGCCATAGTAAAGAGCCTGTCTCAGAGTCACGATAAAACGATCTTCCCTCAAACACATGGCCATACAGTTTTAGACTTGGCATACATGATATGCCCATGACTACAAGCTGGGGCTGATAAAATAGCCTTATCACCCCCCCCCCCCCCCCAAAAAAAAAAAAACAGAGAGAGAGCTCCTTGTGAGGCTGCCTAGAAAAGAGAAATTTCTGTCATGAATCATGATTCCACAAGGCACCATTGGCCATTGCTGTCAGCATGGAATATCCTTATTAATATTAATTCTACTATATTTCATCCTAATAGCAATCTTAGCCCAAACCTAAGATTCATCCTACACCAAGATGCCATGCCCCTCTTCAAATTTTGTTTTCTGATGACATCAATCAGGAAGCAGAATAAGCCTAATCAGCTACCGAAAATAATCGAGATGAAATAAAATTCTTTCCTAAGTCTTGAACACCAACGTTGACATGGATTCAGGAAATGAGCCCAATCAAGGAGAAAGAGGGAGAAGGGCAGGAGGTCACTCACACACCTGCACTCCTGCCACTCCATGGCCACAGGGGAGAAGAGCGCAGGTCTCGACATGGGCTTGGCTCTTGCCCTGCTGCTGCTGCTGATTTTCACCTTCCCCTCCCCTCTCCTCCTCCTCATCCACCATCTGCTGCTGCTGCTGCTGATAAAGAAGACACCGCTGCTGCTCGGCCTCAACGACGGCGACGAGGTGGCGAAGGCGTCGAGGCTTGCCCTCCCCGCCGCGGCAGGGCGGTAGCAGCAGGCAGCTCCTGCGGCCATGGCGGCTCTTCTTCTTCTTCTCCTCTCCCTCGTGTGAGTCGTGTCCTCGTGTTTGCCTGGTTGTCACTTGTATGGTCTCCGCAACTGTTGCTTCTTGGTGACCACAAGAATACTGCTCCCTCCGGTTTTATAATATTTGTCGTTTTGGACACGGACACGGTCTTAAAAAAACAACTTTGACCATTAGTTTTCATTATAATACGTATAAAATTGTTAGCAAATATATGATCTTATTAAAGTACTTTTTAAGACTAATATATACATGTAGTCACCATATTTAAAAAACAAATATTTTAAAAATGATTCATAATCAAAGATTCTAAAGTTTGATTTCACCCTTGTCCAAAACGACAAGTATTATCAGATCGGAGGGATTACTCCGTATACAATTAGCACAAGCGTGCTGGGGTTGCTCAGACTGAGCTTTCAGGCAGCAGTGTGTGACACCAGCAATTTGGTCTGGATCAGTCAGAGAAATGTTTTTTTTCCTCTTCTCTTTGAGATGCAAAACAAAGTTCTTGATCTTATATTGGATTAGTGCATTTGATGTTTTTTTTTTCAGTACCTGCCAAGCTGATCAGTTTATAGTAGGCCATACTTGAGAGGCCAAATGTGGAGTTTTTCCTTCATGAATGTTGCCAAGCCTAGCTCCTCCAAAAATTACTGCCCAGACTGGCATACATAAACAATACATACAAGAAATGGATACAGCCAGTATCAATGTGCACAGCATCTTCTTCTTCTTCATTCACATTGAATCAACAGATAGAAACAGAAGAGAATGCATAGACAAAATGATGTTCCCATGATCATCTAAAAAGAATGTCTACAAGGAGCTGCAAGATGATGGAACTTTTTTTTTCCTTTTTCAGGCCTTCTACACATCAATCCTCTCGCGTATCCGACTTCCGCTTCGACATCATGGACAGCCGCGCATCCCTCTCGCGCTCAAACTCTCTGTAATCAGCTCTCTGCAAGAATGACACCTTATCCAGGTATTTGTTCGAGCTCTTCTTGTACTGGTCCAGCTCCTCCTCCATCCCTTTGTTCTCCTCCTTGAACTCTCCCCAGTCTTTCTTCGTCTTGTCCAGGACGCTCAGCTTCTGCTTCTTCTTTATCTGCTCGAGGATGTGGTCGAGAGCAGACGGGGCAGCACCAGCGGCCTTGGCCTTCTCTATCGCTTCTGTTGAATCGGCGTCCACCAGTTTCTTGATCTCGATATCCTTCCCAGCAAAGTCCCTAACCTCCGTGATCTGTTCAAGCATGTAAAAATACTAGGTTAGCAGTTTGCGGAGCCCATGTAGCATAATGTTGGAGCACCGAGCACAAGGTTGTGGGTGCTGAGGTCAAGGGTATGCCCCTCCTTAAAATCAAAGATGTGTGGTTCCTCTTACTAATTTTGTTTTCAAATTGTCAAAAATTTCTCTACATAAACTTTTGTGGATTGGGCCTAGCAGGGAGAGGTCAAACAGTCTCACAACCATGTGCTTTTCCAAATTTATGGGTGTACCAGTGGGGCGACTTCGAACCTTTCCAAACTAATAATATGAACTGAATGTTTGAAAGGATGGACAGAGCAAAACTAGAAGGAATCCAAATACACCCCTATGCCATTACATTTTTCTTGAAAGAATTTTGTACCAAAACATTATCCTATACAACCATAAGAAGTGAGACGGATGCAGAAGCAGCAGAAGCATTATCCTATACAAACATTACCTCCACTTTCCCTCTTCCAGCTGCAGCTGAAGCAGCATCTCTGACAGCGGCAAGAGCACTCGCTGCAAGTTTTTTGGCGTCCTCGCTTGTTTCTTGTTGTGCCTGCTTTTGGCCATTTTTGGAGCCTTGATCATTTGTGGAAGCCTTACTTGGTGAAAGTCCCAGAACACTCATCCAGTTCTACATATATTTATTCAGAAGATCAGTCATAAAGCCAAACAAAAATTAAATTTAGACCTCACATGTGAAAATCAACTTGCTGATAAGGTTAATAGCATAAACGTTACTCACATTTCCCGTGGTACTTTTCTTTTCTTTAGCAGGTGTGCTGAGCTTATTCATTACAGGTTTGGGCATTTTAGCTGGCATTCCACTGTTCATTTTCTTCCAGATATCCTCAACACGTGATTTTGTGTCTGACAAAAAAGAATGAAGCCTCAAGCATTGAACTAAAGCAGTGGTTAAAGTAATAGGAATTACCAATTACTTCAAACAGGCCCATGTGTATAATATATCACATTTTATACTACAGCGCTGTAAAAAACAAACACATACAATCTTTATCACAAAGCTCATCAACATATGACATATTCAAAACACTAGCTTCTGACTTCTGAGTTACTCTCACCTGAAGGCCCTACACTAACACGTGTAAACACAAGATTAATCCAAAAATTAATTCACTGTTTATTTATCTTCCAGTTTTCCTCAATCAGTTAGCGTTAGCCTGCCTTTGTCAAAATCCAAAAGTATTTGACGATAGTCAATTACAGAACAAATCTCCAGCTACAAATTATCATCAACAAATATGAGAATCACTAGAAAAAGTGACAGAAATATCACACAGTCTACATAATTTTGCATGAGTTACCAAACATGTCGAAAAACTATAACAACTATAAAATGCATCTTGACTATGGACTTATACTCTTGTACATAACAATTTAATGTTCTTGCCACAAATATCTAAAACTTAACTTTCTGATTTGGAACATACTGAAGGACCAGTAAAACATGGGGCTGAAAGACCTGTATACATACCAGCATCAGTAGACCTCTGTTGTGAACTTTCAGCGCTTCCTGAAGTTAGCAGTGGTTCATCCAAAATCACATCTTTGGCCCCTGCCATTGGCACATAAAGGACCAGACATTTAAAGTCATACGATAACGAGAATCAAACAGCCACAATACATGGAAAAATTGCATTTTGATTAAGGCTTGTGTTCTGGCATTCTTTTACCAAAATAGTGACCAGAAATTAAAATAAAACTAAAAAAGGAAGATTGTCGAAAACCCATCCAGCATATCATTCTCATCGATAAACTCACTTAAATAGTAAATAAAGAACAGTATCCAAAAGAACTTTATATGCAGGTGCCTTGATTATGATCCTTATTAAAATTAAAAAAAAACTAACATCACATAATTAGGGTGTTTAGAATAGCACACTGAAAAGATAAACAGTTAAGGAAATGCATTTTTTAAAAAAAAAAATAGTTGAGGGGTCCATGGCCCCATGTTAATATGCATGAGTGGTATATACGACCAGAAACTAACAAAGCAGATGAGCTCTTGAGTGAAAGATTGAAAACATCTTAACATTCAAACTGCCGCATATTCCTAACATTCCACATCCAAATGACATCTTGAGTTCGCATGAGTAAAAATCTGAAACATATCCTACGAATGCTCATCTATCTGTATCCGGGTTCAGTTATCAAATGCAAGATGACTAATAGGAAAAATTGCCGAATTGGGAAAAAGTGTGTTATTTCAGACTTAAGGATGCAGGATGCATGCTTAAGCAAACATTTTGTTCCACCAACGGTTAAATCTCCGCTTGCAAAGAATTACATGCAACTTATCCAATGCCCTCACCAAACCAAGGGGAAAAAAAATCAAAACATAGTATCAATTATCAAGAACCGCCGCACCACAGCGAACAGGGCGCATCATTCGAGCTACACGAAACCAATCACACGCAGTAACCTTATCACACGACATATCAGAATCGGCGCCTCAAATCTCCCAAGGAACACGCCTCCCAAGGAACACGCCTTACTCTCCCATTGACTTTCAATCCCAATGTAACCAGCTAAACCACCCAAGATTTGGGTCGCTCCGTACCTGAGCTGCCCATGTCGCCGGAGGAGCTCCCCGACGCCATCCTCGACGCGGCCTACCCTATCCCGTACCACCCCCCCCCCTCTCCCGGCGGCGGTGGTTGGTGGCGGCGCTGCGGCTGCGCGCGGCGGCGGAAGCGGACGGAGGCGTCGGCGTGAGGAGAGAGAGAGAGAGAGAGAGAGAGAGAGAAAGAGAAAGCGAATTGCGAGGAGAAGAACACGCGAGGCGGCCCAATAACAAAAAAGAAGCCCATAAGGCGGCCCATCTCCCACTAGGGGAGTAGCACCCACCGTCCGATCGAATCCAACGGCGCAGGATGCCTCGCCTCAGCTATATAAGAGTCGCCTCTCTCATTTCGCCTAAACCCTAGCCGTCCACACCCCACCACCACCGCCGTCGCCTCCACCCCGCCGCCGCGGGAGAAACCACAGGTAAGGGCAAGCGCGCCGCCGCTGCGGCCGCCGGCGAAGATGCAGATCTTCGTGAAGACCCTGACGGGGAAGACGATCACGCTGGAGGTGGAGTCCTCGGACACCATCGACAACGTGAAGGCGAAGATCCAGGACAAGGAGGGGATCCCGCCCGACCAGCAGCGGCTCATCTTCGCCGGCAAGCAGCTGGAGGACGGGCGCACCCTCGCCGACTACAACATCCAGAAGGAGTCGACCCTCCACCTGGTGCTCCGCCTCCGCGGCGGCGCCAAGAAGCGCAAGAAGAAGACGTACACCAAGCCCAAGAAGCAGAAGCACAAGCACAAGAAGGTGAAGCTCGCCGTGCTCCAGTTCTACAAGGTGGACGACGCCACCGGCAAGGTCACCCGCCTCCGCAAGGAGTGCCCCAACGCCGAGTGCGGCGCCGGCACCTTCATGGCCAACCACTTCGACCGCCACTACTGCGGTAAGTGCGGCCTCACCTACGTCTACAACCAGCAGGCTTAGGCGTAGGCTCCTGTTCTTTGGGGGCGGAAGTAAGGAAGGAGGAGGAAATCGAACTGGTTATTAGATGATAATTAATCCTTTTTTGTCATGTCGTATTAAACTAGTCTCCTTGGAACTGAACACCTTAGCATCACCTCTGTGAAGATTGTGATGCCCTACTTTTGGTTTTGAAATCATGTTATGTACTACTGTCGAATTATGTTTGGGTTAATCATCTTTTTATCCGTTGGCGTGGTCTTGGTTATCGGCTATGGTATTTGATTAAATTGCTTGTTGCAGGGAAGCGAAGTAATTGTGATTGGGAATTTTGTTTGAAATTCCGCTATGCATACATGTTATGTTAGTTTTGTTTTCTAATCGTAGTTTGCGGTACTGCTCGTATTAAGAATTTAATTCGAATTTGATTTAGGATTTGGCCCTGTAAAGTTGATTCGTATTAAAAAAATTAATTCTATTTCGATTCAGGACGTGACCTGTTATATCTCACAGAATGTGATTCTGTCTTTGCCAGTTTGTTATTCAGTGCGTTAAAATGATTAGATGATCTTTCTGTCCATGTTCCTGGTCAATGTTAATCAATGTGTTATCCTGAAAGCCATATCCTGGCATAACAATATGGTGTAATCTGCCTTTTGTTCATGCTTCCATTTACTATTGTAGCGAGGCAAGTAGATGCAAATAAAGGTTCCTGATTTGTGATTTTGCCTCTTCTACAGCGTGTTAAGATGATGATCTCTCTTTGTCCATGATCTTGTGCAATGTTAATCTATCTTTGTTCTGTCTGTGCTATAATCCTGGCATAATAATATGGTATAATCTTCCTTTTTGTTCAGTTTTTGTTATAGTATTCTAATTTGTATGAAATGTTTTTGTTCATTCGTCCATGTACTATTGTAACAACGCAAGTAGCTGCAAATAAAGGTTCACCAAATAAATAGTTTTTGTATCTGCTATGGTTCCTTTAATCTTACTAGTAACTTGCATTAGTGTTCGCATAAACCTACATGTACCACAAGGAAGTTGTCTTATTTTGGCAGTACAGATTTAAACATATGCTGTGATATTCATGTAGTTTGGAAATGAAAAAAAAATAGAAATGGGCATATTAGTTGATTGTGTTCTTAAATTTATTTTCTGCAAACTGATATACATACCCAAGTTACTGATTTTCTCGTAACAGGTACTGAGTATTCTTTGTTAGTTTTCCTTATTGCTCCATTTTTGCGTTAGCATTTTTTTTTAGTGAAGATATTTGTTGAATTTCTCGCATTACTTGCGAATGCGTATTAATCCTCGTCAGATGTCAGGTTGATAACCTCTCTGTACATTTCTTATGTGCTCGACGCTTTATGTGTTAGATCGTGTGATCTCTGTTGAATTTTGCAAATTGAGGATTGATGCTTGTTGTGTGATTATACATTAGTGCGATGCCTCCCTGTTCAATTCCTGTGGCATCCGACCTGACCGGACGGTTTACAAACAGCATGACGTTGCCAGTCGCAAGGATCCTTGCGAGCGAGCGAGCTCCTTGCATGACTAGCAAATGTAATTATTTTCGATCACCACGATGTTGTTAATCTCTAAAACTTAGAACCTGGGTAATCACTAAAATGCAATCCTGTGCACTTCAAGTGCTTGAAAATCAACAACTTGGATTACCTTGCCAAAAGAAAATTGAATGCTTTTAAGCGTAGCTGGTTTACGGATCGATTTTTCGTAGCTCTATAGGAAAATGGCAATAACCACAATAACCATGTAGTTAGTGCCAGGATTTTCCAAACCGTCGGGACCAGGTAACTGCGCAAAAACATGTAAAATTTATCAAAATTTTATTGGCGGTTTTACAAACCCTCTTAGTGCTACACTCCACTGTTTTGACATCTCCAAAGTATGAAGTGAGGCAATATTGACCCATGGTACCATAACATCAACATGACTTACGCCGCATATGAGAACGGAAGACCAACGAAACACGACTTAAATTTGAAAATACACCGTTCATATTCTTTTCTTAGAAATAGTCTTATATAAACTTTTTAGCACAAATATACCCCCGGTATCGCTAAACCGTTTCGCAAAACTGATGTGGGCTGACGACACGGCCGGTCTCGCACGAAGAGGATGCGAGATCGCGCGGTGTCGCGCGGCAGAGGCGCGAGACCGAACGGTCTCGCACGCGGAATGCGCGAGACTGGCACGAGACTGAGCAGTCTCACATGGTGAGTGTGCGAGAGCGTTTTGAAAATTAAATGATTAACTATTAATTAATAATAATTAGTGATTAATTATTCTGATTAGCGATTAATTAATAATTAATTGTTAATTAAGATAATTATTAGCGGCAAGGATCGGTCTCGCTACTTGAGTCTGCGAGACCGCTCGCTCTCGCTAACTTGCCACGCGACACTGAGTGGTCTCGCGTTTTTATTGTGCGAGATCGTAATATCAACCGTATATTTGTGTAAATAAAATTACAACCCGAATATTTCTGAGAGAAAAAAAAATAAACGTAAATAAAATTACAACCCGAATATTTTTGAGAGAAAAAAAAAATAAACGGTATATTTTCAAAAAAAATTTCCAACGAAACACCATCATATATTCAAGTCTAAGGGATTGTTCACTTTGCTACCATTTTCAACCTTACCTTTTTTTAAAAAAAAGTTATAAAAAAAGTAGCTACATTTAGTTTGTTGCCGAAATTTAGTAAGTACATATGAAATCTTGCCAAAATTTGGCAATTACACAAACTTGATAAGGTTGAAAATGGTAGCAAAGTGAATAAGCCCTAATTAAAAATAAAATGTATGCCAATTTGCTTGCCTGGCAGAACAATTTGGTAAAAAAAACACGTCGTTTAGCAGTTTGAGGAGTGTTACGCAAAAAATGAGCGAGTGGATGCTAAGAAAGTGTAGATTTGAACCCACCCTTAGAGCAAGGCTATAAATCTACTATAAACTAATAGAGGAGAGAGATGAAAAAAAAACGAAGTGTTGTATCTTATGTAAGAGATACATAAAATTTGTAGTGAAAAAAGAGAGAAGAGAAAAAATAGAGCTAACCTATTATAAATATTAGCTTTAATATAAGTTTAGAGCTTAGAGTTAGTTATACTAAAACTAGCTCTTAGTAGTATTGGATGATTTTGGTGCCACATGGCATAAAGACTAGCGGTGGAGCCATATGACATTTCCTTTACATTCTTCTTATTATCTCTCTCCCCTCTCCTTCCCTGTGTCCCGAGCTACCCCTCCCTTTTATCTATCTCAGCAGAGGTAGCAAGAAGGCAACACCTATAATCCCAAGCACCCATAACACCCTCTCCACCACTATGATATCTAGGGGTGGGACCCTTCTTGCGCAATTGTGTGATGTGTCGCAATCTCCATGGGAAGCTGTCGTCCCACCACCATTGTCTTGCAAAGCCGCTGGCCCCCACTAACGCTGTCATATGAAAGCCACCACAACCTTTCATTGCATGAAGCCATTGCTGTAGCCCACTGCCGAAATCGTCAAGTGAAGCCATAGATGCATCCCCTATCCTCTAGATTCACCGTCGATGCTCTTACCGAGCCGCCATCGAAGATGTTGGGGAGGAGAGGGAAAGGAGGAGGTTTATGGAGTGCTAGGGATTGCTTTCGGCCGCCATCTGCAGCATGCCCGAAGCGTGATGGTCGTTGGCGAGAGATAGAGAGAGAGAAGGAAGCCAACAAGTCACTGACAAGTGGGATCCACATTAAAGAAAATTGTGTAAAAACTATCCTAAAAAGGTAGACTGAATCGTTATTGATAATTGAGAGTGGCTGTATACGAAGTTTTATGGTTGAGGGAGGAAACTTAGACTCAGCTATTATTAATCAATGTATTACTAATATACACTTCCTCTGTTAACTTTTTATCATATGTTTGACCATTGATCAACGACATAATCTTTACTATTATAAAAATTGAAGATGTTTTTACGAAGATTTTGGTACGTTATCCATATTTGAGTAGGTTTTTTTAATCGGTAAATATAATTGGAGAGGCTTCTCCAATTAGTCTTAACCAGAGACACCCACGTGCTAGTACTTAATCCATTGAGCAAGTAGAAGAAATATTCCCATCATCTATGCTTCAAATAAAATTTTCTCTTAAATTACTCATCCAATTTATAATCCGATTACACCATTGTGTTCGTAATAATTAAATCTTTACAACAAGATCTCACATGATTATATTTTGATGAAAAATCACAAATTACTTTTATGATATGTATAAATTACTTTTAGATTTCACTAAGTTACTTCTTAGACATATAAAAGTAAATTCAGTAAAGTCTAAAAGTAATTTACATATATTATAGAAGTAACTTATAACAAAAAAAAAAGAAAGTAATTTTAATTAATGCCTTTTTTCATTGAACAAATTATCATATATATAAAAGTTACTTTTAGATTTGATTAAAATACTTCCTATGCATTCATAATGCTCTGAGGTGATTACTTTTATTATTATTTTAGTTAATTTCATAATTTGTGCTGATTAATTTAATTTCTAGATAGAGTCATGTTTTTATCTCTACGACGGATTTACTTTAAATGACATGCCAAAGTTACCTTCGTTTTGTTCTAAGTTACTTCTATAATATATGTAAATTACTTTTAGGTTTCACTGAATTTACTTTTATATATCTAAGAAGTAATTTAGTGAAATCAAAAAGTAATTTAGACATATTATAAAAGTAATATGTGATTTTTCATCAAAATATAATCATGGGAGATCTTGTTCTAAAGATTTAATTGTTATGAACACGACAATGTAATCGGATCATAGATCAGATGAGTAGTTTAAGAGAAAATTGTATTTAAAGTATAGGTCTTATAGATAAAGTGGTAGCTGGTTTACCACTAGCTAGTTACGTCTTTTTTTAATTATATCCGTGGTCAATCGCGTGGTTTGCGTGGGAATAGGAACCAGCAAGCTGCAAGCTTTCGAACTTTAGTCCGACTCCAATTTTGCGAAACTGCTAGTAAAACGCAGACGCCGAGGGAAGCCACATGGGGATTTTTTTTTCCGGTTTTTTAGGGAATGGTTTTCCACGGTTTTCTTTTTTCGGTTTTTATCTTTTCTTTTTTTCTTTTTAATTCGGAACCGTAGGATATCATCAGACTATCGGTGCGACGGTGGATTCGGCGAGACGTGTTGGACTCGCAGGTTGTCGAACTCCCTCTTCCGCTCCGCCGCAACCACTCCCGTCTCCATCCTTCCCAAACCGCGCCGCCTCTCCCCGTCCCTCCTCCTGCGCCCCAGGTGCAGCCGCAACGGCGACGAACGTTAACGCGGCCGCCGGCGGTGGGGGTATCCGCCGAGACTCAGTGACCGCGGCGCCGCAGCTTCAGGTCAGAATAGTTCTCTCTTCTCCACTTCTCCTCTCGGAATTAGAACCCTAGTATTGTTACAAGTTCTGCAGCGGTGTAGGGTTTTGCTAGGGTTTAGCTGTTGCAATGAACCTCTGTTTATGAATCAGGGCAACAAGGAATCTGTGGAATTCAATTTTTCTGCGGGATATCGGCAAGGGAGGGGATTAATTGATTGATTGGTCGATGGAGGAGGCTTCTGTTACAGGGGAATTGTTGGAGCAAGAAGCTCCATCTTCTTCAATCTCCGGTGTCGATTGGTCCCAGCTTCCGGCGGACTTGCTCGTCTGCATCTTCGGCGTGCTGGAGGTCCCGGATGTCTTCAGCTCCGGTGTGGTTTGCCGCGCCTGGCATGCCAGCTTTCTGGAGGCCCGCCGCCTTGGCATTTGCTCCAGTAACCCTGGGCCCTGCCTCGTGTTCTCTTCCGGCGACCGTGATCCTAGCGTGGTCACCCTGCACAGCCTCACCACGGGGAAGAACTACTATGTAACCATGCCGGACCCTCCTTTCCGTACCCGCTACATCGTTGGGTCTTCCCATGGCTGGCTTATTACCGCCGATGAGCGGTCCAATCTGCTCCTTGTCAATCCTGCGACTCAGGCTCAGATCCCCATGCCACCACCGGAGACAATAGCGAATGTCAGGATACGTTGCAATGGTGAGGGAGTGCCACATGGCTATGATCTTTTTAAATTGGATATGTCATCACAAGATTTTGATACTGAAACAGAGCCAGATGATCTTTCCTGGGAAGAAGGCCGGTTTTACTTCTACACGAGGGTTGTCCTGTCAGCAGATCCATCCAGTGGAAACTGCACTGTAATGATCCTGCACTTGCTACGTAATCTCCTTTTCTTTGCAAGGGTGGGTGACACTCATTGGACCTGGATCAATGTTAATGAGCTATGTTGGAACTATCATGATGTTTTGTACAATGACGATGATAGATTGTTCTATGCAATCCGAGGCAATGGTGATGTTCATGCTATCAATACAAATGGACCCTCTCCAATATTAAGGGTTGTCTTAGACGCCAAGAGCTCACTTGTCGATTGTGCCAAGTACATTGTTCTGTCAGAATTGGGTGGTCTTCTTCAAGTATGGAGGTATCATCACTATGTTAATAATAATAAGGAGAGGAGGACCAGTGAATTGGTTGTTTATAAGGTTGATCTTGTTGAACACAAGCTTGTTGAACTTAAGGATTTTGAAGGCCATGCATTGTTTATTGGTTTCAATAGCTCCTTCTTCCTACGAGAAGAAGATTTCCCCATGTTGACTCCAAATAGTGTCTACTGTACAGATGATACAGTTACTTATATTTGTCATTCAAGGTTTGGCTTTCGAGAGGTTAGTGCCTTCCATTTGGAAGATAGTAGTTTCACCGATCTACTACCTATTGGCTCACGGTTGAATTGGCCACCTCCTGTTTGGTTTAGGCCATCATTTTCTAAAGGTAAATAGAACCATTGCTTCGAGTGTTACATATTTCTGTTTATTTACATCTCTATCTATTCATATTCTCTTGTGATAGGTTATATAACTATTTTGCAAGTTATATTGGCAATAGGGAACTTTTGATTGAAACAGTGAGCTTTGGCTATACATCACTTAGATCCATCAACATTTGTAGTTTTTTCATGTTTTGTTAGAGCAATCTTTTGATTTAGTACCACGTTCAGTTTCTCAGATCTTTCTGTTCGTTTTTCAGGTCCACTATGACATAATTCTGCAGATTGATTGATCTGATCAATGGAGCAGGTTTCTTCTTCTGTTACCGGTGAATTACTAGAGCATGAAGCTCCACCTTCGACCCCCGGTCTTGATTGGTCCCAGCTTCCTGCGGACCTTCTCATCTGCATCCTTGGCACGCTGGAGATTCCAGATATTTTCAGCTCCGGCGTGGTTTGCCGCTCGTGGCATGCCAGCTATCTAGAGGCTTGCCGCCTCGGTATTTGCTCCAATAACCCTGGGCCCTGCCTCGTTTTCTCGTCCAGCGACCGTGATCCTAGCATCACCACACTTCACAGCCTCACCACGGGGAAGGATCACTATGTAACCATGCCGGACCCTCCTTTCCGTACACGTTACATTGTCGGATCCTCCCATGGAGCGGTCTAATCTGCTCCTTGTCAATCATGCGACTCAGGCACAGATCACCATGCCGCCACCGGAGACAATAGCAAATGTCAGGATACGTTGCAATGGTGAGGGTGTGCCAGATGGCTATGATCTTTTTACAATGGATATGTCATCACGGGATTTTGATACTGAAACAGAGCCGAATGATCTTTCCTGGGAAGAAGGCCGATTTTATTTCTATAAGAGGGTTGTTCTGACAGCAGATCCATCCAGTAGAAACTGCACAGTAATGATCCTGCACCTGCTAGATGATTTCCTTTCCTATGCAAGGGTGGGTGACAATCATTGGACCTGGATCGATGTTGATGAGCTATGTTGCTGCTATCATGATGTTTTGTACAAGGACGACGATAGATTGTTCTCTGCAATCCGAGCCACTGGTGATGTTCATGCTATTGATACCAATGGACCCTCTCCAATGTTACGGGTCGTCCTAGACACCAAGAATTCACTCATCAATAATACCAAGTATATTGTTCTGTCAGAATCAGGTGATCTTCAAGTATGGAGGTATTATAAACACGTCAATAACGACAGGAGGACCAGAGAATTGATTGTCTATAAGGTTGACCTTGGTGAACAAAAGCTTGCTGAACTTAAGGATTTTGATGGTCGTGCGCTATTTATTGGTTTCAATAGCTCGTTCTTCCTACGGGTAGAAGATTTCCCAATGTTAGCTCCAAATAGTGTCTACTGTACAGATGATTCAATGGAATATATTTATTGTGTGAGGTTTGGTTTCCGAGAGGTTGGTGCCTTCCATTTGGATGATAGTAGCTTCACTGATCAGCTTATTGGCTCACGGTTGAATTGGCCATCTCCTATTTGGTTTTGGCCATCATTTACTAAAGTTAATTAGATTTATTGCTTCAAGTTTTACATATTTCAATTTGTTTACATCTCTGTAATTTGCTATTGCATACCCTATTAATAATAGAACTCTGGTGGTAGTTTACAAGTTAGTATATGTAATGCTGCTACTGCCTAACAATATAGTTGGAAATGTAACAGATGCATTACTGAAATCATGGAAATCACTACAAACTATGTATAAAAAATTTAAAATATTGTCAACACAACATATGCAATGGAGGTGCTATAATACGCCATGTATTTTTTTTTAAAAATCGAACTTGATTCTCTTTAGAAGGGTTGAAACTCAGAAAGAAATAAAGGAATAATACTAAAATGTTCCAACTTCACTTTATTCTGTCAACACTATTCATGTTTCTGTTTTTTAATTATATGTATTCTATTCCAAACAACACTGAGCATTATCTTCAAATTTTTACATGTGTGTATATAATAGTATGTCCTTCTACTTAAGTTAACTTTTTGAGAATTTTCTTAGAATGTTTACATGGTTTATTGCGAGGTCTCCATGATTCACTGAATTTGTGGTTTTCACCTATAATCCCCTGCTATATGAATATGTTATTATCCGTCTAAGGTGGCATCTCTAAAATTAATATATACCTCCCAACTATTTATTTGATTGTTACAAAGATTATGCAAAATGGAGACACAGAACTTTTTATTTAAACCGTGACCTTTGTTTATACATCCACTTAGATCCATTAACATTGTAGTATTTCCATAGTGTTCTAGACCAATCTTTTGATTTTTAAACTTGTTTCCGCAGCATCACATTCAGTTTCTCAAATAAAGTCAGACTCATGGTGATGCCTTTTGATTGGTTTTCAGGTCATCTTTCTAGTAATTCTGGAGATTGAGTCATGAATACATTAATTTAGCGTGGATATCTGTACGGTCTTGCTCTAGAATAATTTGTAAACAGTGGCGCGCTACCTTGTGTTATTGTCATGTTCAACAATAATCATGCTAATCATGTCTTGACTGTGAGAACATTGTTATTTTAGTCTGCATGAATGAAAGTCATGTATTTTTTTCACTTCTTGGAGCTTCCCTCTGTTTATGGTAACCGAATCTCTCATAATATTTACTACTTAAAAAGAGCCTTATGGTGATTGTGAGACCGTCACGTGGTATGCCATACTTCCCTCCCTCCCTCTCTTAGTCTGTTTGTGCTGCCATGTGGGCCTGGACGTGAAAATCGTTTGGCGTTGGGCTCAAGGTGAAGGAGGCAGTGGCAGTCATGATGGAGTTGTGAGCCATCTGCCGCACGATCATGGGCGACTGTGCCGATGACAGTATCCTGCGGCCTCGCCGCAGAACTGGAAGGAGGTCGAAAACAACAGCAACACGCTCGCCGCCGAGTCCAAGGTCAACACCTCTGATGACACCACGTCCGCCGCCATGCTGGTGATCTCAGGCTGGGGCCTCATGAAATCGGATACCAACTTCACCAAGGTCGACAAGGCCACCCAGGTAGCCTCCCCTCTCCATTTCTCCCTTTGTGCCTGCAGCTTGCTTCTTGAAGGGACTCAGATCTGTGGTTATTATGCTGGATTTCCAGTCAGGCTTTCATAATAGCTTGAGGTGCATTCTGTTTGCAGCGCAGCTAGGGGATCGTTACAGTGGTAACCAATCCAGTAGGTTACTAGGTTCATGATGCAGTATCATGGAAATAAAAAACATTTATGGGGGATTGATGTAACTGGAATTGCTGGAGTTTTGGAAATTTTTGGGGGAAATTTTGCTAAATGAAAAAAAATTGAATTTTTCGGCCGAAGGAATCAGCGAATATCCTGTTGAGGGACTGATAAACCTAAAAGTATGGAAATTTCTAATGAAAATATGGAACACTTATCTAGATGGTTTACATGCATCATGCATTTGGTCTGTAGAATTGAGAAAACAAATACTTGATCTTTGCTTAGTTTTTCTTAAGTTTAATTATGAACTCTTAATACTGCATTTACAGTCTATGCACATGGTATTTGGGTGTGAAACTACAGGAAACTGGGTAGATCATTGCCATTGTCTGGTGAAGATTGCAGAGGGGAAGTATGTGGCTGTCCAGATTTTCTCAAACCCACTGGGATGGCAATTGCTGGGAAATCTGTTTTGAACTATCCCTCTATTTCAGTCTATTGATCAAATATTTTCTCCTACCTTTTATATCAAGTTCAAAATGTTTATGTGGCATATTTGCAGATTTATGGCTTAGTTCAGCGTGGTTGATGATGATGAAGTTGCAGATAAAGCATTCTTCTAATTGTCTTGATGATGGTGGAGTTGCTTGCTTGGCTCATGTACATGGGCATGTTTTGCCAGGTAAGTTCCATCTGAATTCATTGAGTGCTTTCACATTTTTTAGATTCAGTTCAGTAATTTTCTTAATAACACAGTGGAAGAGAACAAAAAAAGTGTTTTCACAAAGTGTACAGAACAAAAGAGTCGCTCCGTTTGTTGATAATTCTGTGAATTGTACTGCCAGAGGGGAGAAATGTAGTGCGAGCTTAAATAATGTGGCATGCATTCTAATGGTTCTTTTCAGAACTTTACTGTGTTGTTGGAAAGAGAGTATAGAATATGTGATAAGAAAAATTATTATGAACTTATTATATCCACTATAAGTCTACATCATAGCATAATCCAAATAGGAAAATTATACCATGTGGGTAGCAGTTTGGTAGTAAAATTTATAGAGTAAAGTCCATCACCGGTCCCTAAACTTGTACCGCTGTGTCATCCCGGTCCCTAAACTCGCAAATCGACCGTTCAGGTCCTCAAACTTGTTTGACTATGTCATCCCGGTCTCTAAACTTGCAGATCACTCATTTAGATCCTCCAACTTGTTCAGTTGTGTCACCCCGGTCCCTAAACAGGACGGTCTAAAAATTTTATATCAAAAAATAATTCATAACTTTTTCATGTGAACTCTAATGAAGACAAACTTTATATCAAAATTATAGCCCTCGACGCGACCTACAACTTTGTAGTTGAAAAGTTTTTGAATTAAAACTGTTTAGGGTCCCAAAATATTGTTGCATGTTTATAGATTTTGAAATTTTAATTTTAAAATGTATTGGGACAAAAAATGACTTAAAATAAAAAAAATTCAACTACAAAGTTGTAGATCGCGTCGAGGGCTACAAGTTTGATATAAAGTTTGTCTTTATTAGAGTTCACATGAAAAAGTTATGAATTATTTTTAAATATAAAGTCTTTAGACCATCCTATTTGACCCAGATGATATTGAAATCCAAGTTTAGAGATCAGGGTGACACAACTAAACAAGTTGGATGACCTAAACGAGTGATCTGCAAGTTTAGGGACCGGGATGACACAGTCGAACAAGTTTGAGGATCTGAACGGTCGATTTGCGAGTTTAGGGACCGGGATGACACAGCGGTATAAGTTTAGGGACCGGTGATGGACTTTACTCAAATTTATATATTTCTTTTTTTGAAGATGATGGCATTGACCTTAAGTGTTCCTTTTTTTATTACTATATAAATATATTTTCCTTGGATGTTAGATTTTGATAATGTGGAAATATGAAGACAATATTAAGAAATGTTACAGATCAATATTCTCCTTGCCGCTGATCACTTCTCGCCATAAAAAAAAGATATGATGACTGTATTACATATTTTTGGCTGGTTGTCTTTTATTTTTTATAACAAAAAAATGTGGGTTACCTGGGGAACCAGCAAGAGTACTCTGAGCAGCAGCAGCACAGTACAACAAGTGCTTGTCGAAGGAGGCTAATTAAGAAATTTCGATAGGCGGACATCACCAAAGAAGTATTTTGTTCTGTTCAATGTAGGTATGATGACCAAATTGACACATGTACATGCTAATGATCCTTTTTCAATTATGCCTCAATTCTATTTATTAGGCATTTTTCTCAATTCTATTTATTAGGCATTATTCTTTTATTGCACCCTTTTGGTTACTAACTATTGTGTTTTCTCTCTAAATCACTGATGAGGAAGAGATGGGTTTATTTGCAGGGTGTTTTTTTTACGAATGATGTTCAGGTGGTTTTGAATAAGTTATTGGCAGATTAGTTTTGAATAAGTTATTGGCAGATTTAGCTTGGCTCTGTACTCACTGATCACAGGCTTATCAAACTGTGTTAATATGGCATATAAATATAGCTCTAGAGAAATACGTATTGTTTTGTCTAAGGGATATGTTTTCCAATGGGGTTCACTGCAAATTGGTGTTCTGTGTTGGTCAGAAACAAAGGAGTTTGTTTCTCTCATTGTGGGATCTGGTAAGCAAGAATTTAAGTGTCATCATAGAAAAGAACGGAGTTTGTTTCTCTCATTGTGGGATCTGGTAAGCAAAAATTTAAGTGTGTCATCATAGAAAAGAGCTGGTTGTAGGGTAAAATTAATGTGAAAACATGAATCTTTTGAATAAATTGATTATACTTAACTTTCATTACAATCTTTTGATAGAAGAATTTATCTGCTGCCACCTACCGTTGAGGGGAAATCTGTCCATGTAATTGTAGACCATCGCTTATCTACGTTGTAACTATGGTTGTGGCAACATTTCACTATATATGCAAGAGCTAAATCTTATACCATATGGACATCTAAAAAAAATCTTGGACCACGGAAGTACATGTTCCATTGTTCTCTTTTTATCATGGTTATGCCTTTAAGACAATATATGAAAATGCATCCTTTTCCATTTTTCTCTTTTTATCACTACATTTAAAATGCCCCTTGCTGGCGTCGTGTGGCCTCTCCCTCTACAGGTAACAGGTTGGTCTCCTCGTCGCCGTCGCACTCCCTCTACTATCCTTGCATCCTCTGCGCCATCGTCCTAGTCCGGCATGCTCCTACTCTAGCATTTGTTTGCTATATGTATATATTTTGGGCATGTCTCGCATCCGGTCGTTGCTCTAGCATTTGATTTGTAGAGTGCGGATGTGTATAATAGTACAATTTCACAAGCCTTCTGTCCCAGGTACATTTGAATGCTGAACGAATTTTAGGGATGTAAATGCTTTGGAACAGTAAATGTTGTGTGGTACAACAAAATTCTTGATTTTTTTGTGTTTTGAGTGAATACATCTCAAAGCTCATTTGATAGCTAGATTATTTTTCCATGATGCAAAATCATTCGGTACAAAATAGCATGCTGTGCAAGTAAATGTAGCACTACAAGATATCATCATTTTTTTTCCCTTGTACTGTATGTAAGAAAATATGTTCCACACTTCCTCGTTGTCTGTGCACTTGATCTACATTGAATATTTTCTTTTCAATTTTTTATTTGGTCACTGGATTTTTTTTCTTTCTAAAGAGTATGCATGTGTATGATACATGAGCTGGATGTGCCATATAAATTTGAATGTTGAACGGATATTTTGGGATGTAAATGTTTTGGAAGATTAATTTTTGTGTTGCATAACAAATTCCTAGTTTTTTGTTTTTCAGTAAATGCATCTCAAAGCTCATTTACTACAAGATATCATCTTTTTTCCTTGTATGAGAAAATGTGTATCAGTATGTGCACAGCGCACTTGATGTACGTTGAACATTTACTTTTCTTTTATCTATTTTTTAGAGAAACGAGTATATGCGAATCAAACTCTGCCGGTAGGTAGGGGATGCAAAATGGACTTATTTCCAATGCAAAATGCATGGCAGAGCATAGAGGATGCACCAAGTATGCGGGCCGGCCTTGCAATCCAAACTGTGGGCTTATTGTGAGCCCGGCCAATCCAGCCAACTGGGCCCTTCAGGCTTAGGAAAAGGGAAAAGCTTCTTCTCCCCACATCGCCACATCGGTCCGCCTCGCCTCGCCCTCCCCTCGGTCCACCACCGCAAGATTAGGGTAACACCTCTCCTCCGCCGCTGCCGCCCGCGAGGATGTCAGTTGTCAGACGACAAGGTGGACGCTCGGAGGTGGGAGTTCGACCGGGTTTCGTATCAGATGGTCCCGGTCTACACGTCGTCGAAGGAAGAGGCGGAGACGGATAAAGGCGCGAAAGTTAATGTGGTGCTCGGTGTTGACGGCCGTTAAGTACAAAATTCTCGTCGTCAATACCTATATAAAACCATAAAAGTAAAGCATTCAACATAATGGTTGGATTTATTTCTAACCATTTCTACGAGTGTTGGTGTTGATTCGTATGCAGGTAATCAACCACCAAAGTCAAGAGAGAATGAGCATGAAGAATGCAAATATATTTGCGCTGATGGACCCACATGGTTTTGATTTACAACATATAAAATGTGCAATCATTTTGAGCCAAAACATGGTGTACCATAAAGTGGGGCCCACATGTCAGCATCTTGAAGAAGGGTGTGGGCCAGGGGAGCCACTCTTGGTTTGGCTGAACCCCCAGTTGGCCCAATCCAGCCCTACTTCGGTAAGGCAGTTATTACTGACTTCCCAATAACGGTTATGGCCGTTTCTACTAGTAGAAACTGTCATAGAGAGGACACTTGGCAAGAGAAAGATATGAAGATGCTCTTTGAATTCTATTGAGAATATTCCTTAGCATATCCACTCGCTCAAGTCACCTCCACACTATCAATAACCCTCTCCTCCCTCATTCTCACACACCCAAAGCATGAGCTGAATTACAAGAGGCTCTATTGTACTTTATTGTATACTAGATTAGGGAGAGAGTAGAGTAGAGGAAGTTGGATGAATTCCGGAGTTGTCGATAATCACTACTACAGAACAGAGCTATTGTAGCACAAACTTGTAACACGTGACTAAATGTGTTACAGGGGAATACTGCAGTAGCACATAGTATATGTTACATAGAAAGGTTGTAACACATACTACATCCAGTGTGAAACAGTGTTACAGGAAGGACTGCAGTAGCTTATAATAAATGTTACTAAGGCTGTTTACCAGTGTATTTGTAGTACCTTCGGACTTTGAGCATATAAGAATGAACAACTGCTCGTATATTGATTTTGAAAGTCATTTTATAGAGTTATTATAGACCTAACTAGAGTTATCTAAGAATTGATCATTAAAAAGTTTATGCTATTTAAAAGTTTCTTTAAGAGTTTGACCACCATATATAGATAACAGCATTTTATCACCAACCAATTGAAGCAAGTGGTGATTTTGAACATTTTTCATGTAGCTTCAGCTGTTAATATTCATCAATAGGGGAAAAAATGGCAGAAAGTGAAATAACTACCATAGTACATGTTATTTCACTCTCCAATTTGTTTAAAATTAATCACTTATAATACTACATAGAAAAAAATGTTGTATAGGCTGATCAGAAGGGATGATTTTTTTTGTCACACTCACAAGTGACATCTGCATAATATATAAAAAAAGAAAATGTAAAACTAAATGGATAAATGTATTTGTAAAGGAAACCAGTATTCTATGAATGGAGAAACTCAAGCTGTTCTAATCGAGTTCAGCTCCAACAGGAAGCTCAAAACGTTGAAACACAGCATGCATATTTGAGAAATGTATTTGTATTTAACATATTGGAACACCAAAATGTAAGGCGCGTAGAACTTGAAACCTGAAAATGAAAAGTGAAGTTTTAATTAGCATTGAGTTGCTATAATATAAATAGATGCGAGTTCCAAAAAAAATCAGATATTGGTTGTCACTTGTGAGCACTATTCATCTAAAAAAACACTTTAAAGTGCAAACAGGCGTGTAGAACTTGAAACCTGAAAATGAAAAGTGAAGTTTTAATTAGCATTGAGTTGCTATAATATAAATAGATGCGAGTTCCAAAAAAAAATCAGATATTGGTTGTCACTTGTGAGCACTATTCATCTAAGAAAAAACACTTTAAAGTGCAAACTGGAAGAACAAATCCAGGTTAGAGTCATGAATTGTGGGCATTGTTTTGTAAAGAGAAAAAAAATCATGTCTAGCATCCAGTTTTATTTTATTTTGCAATTTGCAATGCTCAATCACTGCCAAGACCATAGAAGCAAATACGTATTCATCTTGTAGTGTTCATCCTCAAATCACTGTCAAGATCACCATTTTCTTATTCACTATCATTCATTTTAAGATGTAAACATTATACATTGCTGATTTAATCCAAATGAACCTACTGCCATGCCCCACATAGAGTTTCACCCATTCATTCAAGCCTTCCAATAGACAATTGGCATGAACATGGATTTCAATAATTTCTCTCAAGATATGTATGACTGGAAAGCCCCACATAGAGTTTCACCCATTCATTCAAGCCTTCCAATAAACAATTGGCATGAACATGGATTTCAATAATTTCTCTCAAGATATGTATGAATGGAAAGCATATATCAGTAGTAATTAAGAATGGCATGACATTAGCAATATAAGCTAAATTAAACTATTATATCTGCCGATAACCTCAACTGCAAGATCCAGTATGATCCAGTACAATATTGCAAACAATAGATGTTTACTTACCATTTAGCTAGGTGGTGACTAGTGAGAGGGACAGGTCTTGTTGGCTCTGAAATCAAATTGTGCTTGTTCTCCATGGCCCTGCAGACCAAATACATACTTTCAGATTATTAACGGACATGCACCTAGAAGCCAATGAGGATCAAGATTCTCAAGCATAATGTGCTTCCAAGAACATGTTCATTTGAATTGCAAATCTTAAATTTCCAACCATGAAACAAATTAATTAACATTGTATAAATCGCAAATGATTTTCGAAGCACCACTAACCCAATAAGAAACTGAGATACATCCAGGACTCATTAATTCCTGATTGGAAACAGAACTATTATGACATTGTGAACTTAACTGAAAAGCTACAAATATACTGACCGAAACTAATCAATGGAAAAGAGCACATCTCATATAAAAATTTGGTAAATTGCACTAAGAAAAATCAGTACTGAATTGCATGAATATTGATAGGAAATCAAAAGGTGGAAAATTCTAGAAATATGTTGTTCTTAAAAATAACACTTAGGTGCATACAACTGCTACCGTTGAAATCTCACAGATTGATGCAGAAAATTTTAGCTCTTAGACACCTTACACAAAGTTGGCTCGAACACACTTGATGTCTTAATGCAGCACGATTGGAAGAGTTTGGACCCAAATTTTATTTATGTAATGATCCATTGGAGAAAACATTGACAATACGAGTAACAATTCCAACTGAAAATCTGAGAACTTCTGACCTCTTGGTGCGGGGGCATGTGGCTGGTCACCGCACTGTTTGTCCTCTGCATCACGGCGCAGGCCATGTCTCTGCCAGCACGGCTGTTGGATCTCGAGGCCGCCGTTGCCTGAGACCTCTTCTCTGGTACGGCCCGAGCCCCCTCCGTGGCTTCATCCGTGCCTCCACAGGCCTCCGGCAGGGTCTGCTCGACCTCGGCAGCTCGGCTCCGCTCCCGTCGCCGGGGTCGCCTGGTGGGGTTCATCTCTCCCTCGCCTCCTGGATTTCTGCTCTAGGCCGCCCTGCTCCCACAGCCAACTCCACGTCTCCACCTTGGGCGCTCCGCCTCTCCTCCCTGGCTGTATGCTAAGGGGAGGCGAAGGGGCTCGTGAGTTGGGAGACGATTGGCACCAGGAGGAGGTATTTGAGGAAAGATTAGGCGCGTCAGGAGCAGGGATTTGGAGCGCAGGTAGTTTTGCTAAAGTAATGCGATTTGGCGCGATACAAGAATTTGCCGCCAAGAAGGTACATGGATTTGCCGCCACTGATAGAAACTGAAATTACGATTGAGTTGAGTGAATTGTTTTTCACGGAGAATTTTTTTATAAAAAAATTGACCGGCCCAAAAAAGTGCAAAGTTTTATATCGCTGTAGCAGTAAAAAATAATAACTAGTTGGGTAACCCGCATAATTGCGCGGCTAGCACCAAAAAGTTATCTATTTTTACACATAATTCTACTTAAAATTTGTTAAATAGTTATCTCATATATCTGATCATCTTTGTGTTTCGTTTATAGTTTTATATATTCCATCAACCACCACCATCTTTTTTTACGGGCTCGTTTCTCTTCTCCTCTTTTTGTCATTTGCTACCGTTGTGTTATAAACAAACGGTTTTATTTTATTTATAAATTTTATTCATATTTGAAATCTTCTTTTTATTTTTCTAATTTTCGAAATTTTATTGTGTTGTGTTCTAGATGGATTAATTGTTGTTTCAATATTCCTTTTCTTTTTTAGAATTTTAGTTATTTTAAAATTGTATGCCTATTCAAACTCTTCTTCTTTTTTTCTAATTTCATAATTTTTTATTTCGTATTTGAATTAATCTTGTATTGGGTTCTTATACATACTCTTTTCTCAATATTGCTTATTTTTAATTACGAATTCTAGTTATTTCTAAATTATATTTCTACATGGATTATGTTTTTCTTTTCTCTGATTAATGGAAAATTTCTAGACTCTACAGCGGATGTGATGTCTCCTTTTAAAGTTGTTTTTAAGTAATACAGTAGGTAGATACTTTAAGACTTTCACCAGAAAAACCAAAAAAAAAAGAATTTTACCATCCTCATAAGCGGGCTTCACCCAAATACCATTATGTGAGTGAGCTTCGTTGAAATATCATTATCAAGTGGTGCCTACATGCTACAGTACCCAAACAAGCAGAAATGCCGCTGGACCCACATGCTCATCATCGTCATCACCGGTTCCACGCGGTTGTTGGTGGCAGCTTCATATCCATTCACTTGTCATCGTCAGCCACCGAGTTGTTGCTTTCTACTGGATCTGCGCGCTTGTCATCGTTGTCCTCCAAGCCATTGAGTTGAAGGAGGCAGATGAGAGGAGCTCGTACACTGTCCATGGTGGTGAAGAAAGGTGGAAGGAGCTAGGGGCAATTTTGTGTTGAATAGCATTCTTGCATGTATAGTTTGGTTGGGAATGGCATTTTAACGAAATCCACATGCAGAATGTTATTTTGGTGAAACTCGCTTTTGAGGATGGCATAATCACAATTTTTCTAAAAAAAAAAAACAAACAAAAAAATACACCTCCTCCGCATACTAGCAGCTCGTCACACAAACCAGCAAAAAGACTATCACCAAACCAGTCGCCGCTAAGTGTGACTGATCATTCTCATGTACTTGAGGTTACAAACGCTCCGCCAAACACAAAAACCACGAAGAAGGTTAAGAATGGGTTTCTCGTCATGCTCACGTAGAAGGGCTGAGGAGGGAGGGGTGAGAGAGAAAATGATCCACTCGTCCCTCGTGTCAACCTGATGATGATCACAGAGAAAACTATTGAGGAACAAATTCAGAGGAGATGGCAAACTCTGGGAGCGAAGACTTCCTAGACAACGCTTCCAAGGAGGTTGTGACGCCTCGAGAAAAGGAAGGCCTCACCGCCGTCATCCTATCCACAGTGTTTCCATCGCCATGCTTGAATGTGAGGTCTCCGTGTTTGCTGCCCATAGCAACACAACATGACATAGACCAGTATGTATGTACAAGGTGGATAACAGGGGTACGTGTGCGCAAATAGGCTGGCATGGTTGCGAGCGTCGTATAAATGGACCGACACGGTCCGACATAGGCAATGCGACACATGGCATAAATGACTGGAACGATAGTTGGCGGCATAGCATGGCAAGATAATGCGCAAGTTCGGTGGGTGACGGCATGACCGAGCTCGTGACAGATTTCGCCTTTTGGCGACTAGTGACCATCTTTCCTTCGCAGCTAGGCCATAGACTTTGTAAAGAGGTTCATTTTTAAAAGTAAGATTTTAAAGGCTTTCATAATTTAATTTTTTGAAGATTCGGTAGAACAAGAATCTCTCATAATTTAAATCTGTGAAAATGTTCAATAAATAAACAACAAGAATCCTCCCCCGTAAAATCTGAAAAACCCGTGGCGGTTAACTCAAATTTGGAGATTGAGATTCGGAGGCGGGGATATGAAAAGTTTTGGAAGCAGTGAAACAATCTGGCGGGCTCAGACTGAGATTTGGAGGCAAGATAATCTCATCTGACCTAAGCCAATCCCTTCATTCTATAAAGTTAAGACCCAAAGCTGAAACCTCAGCGTTCCACGTCATCACTAATTCTCAACTGTTCGATCGGTGGATGAGATCGCATATAAACCGTTGGATGAGAAGGTCTCAGGATGAAGCCCAGCCCATCACGGCCCATGTCCCCTCTCTCCAGGGTTTCTTCACCCTCCACCACATCACAACATCCGCCGCCACCACAAGCACTCTCTTCTCCCCCATCCCCGCACGCCAGCCGCCGTGCTCGGCGGACGCGGACGCGGACGAGGGAGGCGGCAGCGTGGACGCGGACGAGGACGGCGACGGCGGACGCGGACGAGGGCGGCTGCGTCGGTCCCGGTGAACGCGGACGAGGGCGGCAGCGGCGGAGGTCGTGGACGAGGACGGCGGCGGTTGGCAGAGGGAGGCGGCAGTGGTCGAGGGCGCGGTGGACGCGGACGAGGTCGGCGGCGGTGACGGACGAGGGCGGTGGCAGCGGTTGAGGACGACGGCGGACGCGGACACGGACGAAGGCAGCAGCGTCGGTCACGGTGAACACAGACGAGGGCGGCAAGCCGGCAACGGCGGCGATCGTGGCATATGATGTGATAATATGTTTTGTGATTTATTGGTTTGCAGCTCTGATGTACAGATGAGTAGCAGATGACTCGCCGTCTCTCCATCGCATATCAAGAATGCCTATTGCCTGTGATGCCTTCTATGTTTCGGTTCTGAGCAGCAGTAAGCCCATTTTTATCTGTTTTAATGCTATGTGTGTTCCTAATTTTTCTCTTCTATTTCATTAATTAATTAGTTTATCCATTGTGGGTTCTAAATAAAAAATATGTTAATTCCCTCTTGACTGACGCCATGAATCAGTGACCAGCGTTTATCTTGCAAACCCAGTTAAGTTTGCTTATCCTGAACATTTTTCTGATAGTACGTTGGTGAGCTAATCAGTTGGTCCTCTTTGTGTAGGTTGAACAAATAAGGAGGCAAGATTCTAAGGATTCAAACTCATTGCGTTTAGTTAAGCAACACAACAAGGTCAGCACTTAATCTTTTTTGTGTATGTATGGATATATTCCCTTTATTCATTGATTTGCACTACTTTAGCATAGCACTAGGCTGTCTTATATGGAAATGAATTGGTTACATGGTTCAATCTAAATGCATATATATATATACAGTAGACCCACCCGATTCCTTTTGACCAAATGCAATTTCAATTTACTAGGCACTTCCATCAGTTATCTATATGCAAAGATTAATCTTAAAATGCTACGTACTGAAAGTATCTCATGTATTTCAGCAGCAATATCAAACCACATTTGTTTCAACCATCAATACTATATGATTTAAATTGTTATAAACCTCACCATCTTAATTATTTATAGCTTTTTTCAATAGTTGATTAGAGTTGAAAATTATACGAGTATAACTATTATTTCTTCTAATATCATTGAGAAACTCCCGCAGCAACGCGCGGGGCTTCATCTAGTAGTATAAGATTCTTTTCCCCTTATCTGGACACCACCGCCCTCTCCTCTTCCTTCCTTCCCAAACACCATCCCGGCGCTCCCAACCTGCCGGCTCCTCCGCATCACTGGCTCACCGCCGTCGCTGCTGCCCCTCTCCCCGCTGTCGGTGCTGGCCCTCGAGCTCGCCGCGGGCTCCTCAGCCTCCCCTACTCAGAGCTTGCCTGCACATCAACGCCTCCTCCTGCAGTGTTCGATGGCATCCGTATCTCGAGCTTTAAGTTCCTATCTATATTCTATCCCATGAGCTGCAGTTGTTTAAGAATTGAATGTTTGCAGAGCTTGAGCAATCGTTTTCACCCTTCAAAGATTTCTCATCGGTGACTGGATTCGCTTGCTGGTGGGTTGATCTGCTAGCCGGCGTCAGCCACGCGGCCAGATCTATGCCGGGTGCTCCATGAGTAAATGAGTAAAACCATTTGTTGAACTATAGGGTAGATGTGATGAAGAGGGGCATCGGCATGGATGCATGAAGAACTGGAGCCGGCGTGGACGTCGGTGCCGAAAAGGAGAAGCCTGGAGTCCATGGCAGAGAACGATCTCATCCACCATCTTGTCGCGGGCGCCCTGCAGCTTGGTGTGGACGGGACGGGAGGGGGGAAAGGCGGAGGGGGCGGTAGGAGGCTGGGGTTGAGTCTGAGTGGCTTTCTCCGGTGGTGCACCTCGAGCCGCGTCGGTGCCGGTGCTCGGCGTGTACCTTTCTAGCTAAATCCAGGATCACAGCAACAATGGGCTCAGTTAAATATCGTTTCTTGATACCAAGTTAGACAACCTCGTTCACAAAATCCTTAACAATGGGAGAACCTTCTTCACGCGCCCACTGTCCTGAAACCCGTCCAAACCTAACAATTGATCCAAAACTAAACAATCATCCCAAACGATTGTCCCTAGCTTCCTTAAAAGAAAGAGCAAACAAGCTAACATTACGATAGGGAAGAAGAAATGAGCAGATAGTCATCGTAATTATCGGTCCCTTCATTTAATCTGAATATTATAACAAATTAGTTACCAACTTCATGATTGCTTCGACGCTGATTGCATGCAATTGCAAGACCCAATGCAAATCCTTCAATTGCAAACCGCAAACAAGTTCCAAAGCATTAGATGTAGTGGAGCACCAATGAATCATAGAGTTGGAAAGCATCTCTAAGAGCGAGTACAATAGCAAGCTACAAGTTAGCTATAAGAACACGTGGAGGAGAGAAGAGAAGAGAGAAGGAAAGCAAGCTACAGATTTGTAGCCAGCTACAATACGAACTCCAGTACGTTGTGTGTGTATGAGAGGTGGGACCATATATTAATGGTGTAGTATATGCTTATAGGTAACATATGAAGTTGGGACCATATATTAATGGTGTAGTATATGCTTATAAGTAACATATGAATGAGCTATTAGGCATCTCTAAGAGAGTACAATAGCAAGCTACAAATCAGCTATAAGAACACGTGGAGGAGAGAAGAGAAGAGAGAGAAGGAAAGCGGGCTACAGATTTGTAGAATGCTACAGCACGAACTCCAATACGTTGTGTGTATGAGAGGTTGGACCATATATTAATGGTGTAGTATATGCTTATAGGTAACTATTGTATGAATGAGCCATTAGAGCAAGTTTAATAGTATAGCCCACTACTAGCTCCAATTCATCTATAGCTAATCTAATAGCCAATTCGTACAATAGTTGCTTACTATACTATTAATATACGGTCCCACCTGTCATACATATATTGTGTCTTGGAGTCCGTGCTGCAGCTGGCTACATATATGTAGCTCGCTACTCTTCTCTCTCATCTTTTATCTCATTAAAATATCTTTATAGCTAGCTAATAGTTTGCTATTGTACCTGCTCTTAGATTGGCTATAGATGATTTAGAGCTAGTAGTTGGCTATACTATTAAACTTGCTCTAAAAAAGAGATACCGCGAATGAGCCGCCAAATGGCATAACGAACCGATGGTGGCGCGCAGTTCTCCACGCCATCGTCCTTCTCAGTCTCCATCCGTGACGACCCATCTCCACCCTCCGCTTCACTCCCCCTTCCGCCCGCCCTTCTCATATGCCCTATACACCTGTCGGAGGTCCGCCACAACCACAAGCGCCTCCACCGTGGCCTCCCTCTGCGACGCCTCCGATGAAGCAAGATCCTAAACACGTTCATATGAACCTAGGCCCCGACACCACCGTAATCACAAAAGGATGGGGCACTGGCGCCACCGCAGCCTCCGCTCTACCAACTGTTGTTACGTCTGCAGCTTGAACTTAGCAGCGGCGATGCCCGATTCAGTGGATTGGCAGTGCCTCTCCTGGTCAATCTCCTTCCGCTCCATGGCCAACTTTTGCTTCTTCGTTGGCGCCTCCACGGCCGAGGCCGGCTTGGCTGCGGCCTCTTTCTGCAAGGAAGGTTGTCGGCGAGAGTGGTGGGCGGCCTCTTCTTTCCGGCCATCGATGCGCCCCACCAATCTCAGCTTAGCTCGAGGTGGCGAAGGCTGTGAGTAGAAGAGTTTATGCTGATGCGAGAAGACGGCGAAGCATGGAGCACAGCCGGCTCCGCCGCCACCGTAGGCCCCGACAGCGACGCATCTAGAAGGGGAGGGAGAAGAAGGGGGAGGGTCCCCGATAGTGGCTCCGAAGTGGCCGCGCTGCGGCCGCACCGGCCACAATGTCGCCAGAGAAGGAGGCAGCGTTAATGCGGCCGCCATGCCGGGGAAGCGACGGCAACATCACCAGCCACCATCCCCTGTCTTCCCTCCTCCTTCCTTCCTTCGTGGCCGGTGGGCGGGGTGGGGGACAACAAGGGGGGAGGGAGCGCCGGTGCCTGTGCGGCGTGGGGAACAACGACACTCGTGGCCTGCTTCGCCACCGCCGCCGACCCTGTTGCCGACAGGCACAGGGGGAGGGAATGATGGCGCGGAGAAGGAACAAGGAGGGAGGTGGCAATACCCACCGCACACAAAGTTACATGCGGTAAGCATGCAGGGCGGGAGCTGTCAAATATACAAACAACTGCATGCAAAGCAATGTATAGCTAAGAAGAGAACATCCAAATAAAAACAAACAAAAAAACAGAGCACATGCGGCAACTGCCAGGAAACTGGAAAAAAAAGTTCCCCAGTCGAGGAGCTCCCACCTTGGGCAAAAACGGAGAGGAGCAGAACCATGATAGGGTTTGCAGACAGCTGACCGGGCAAAAATGGATTCTGGAGTGACATGGATTCTTGATGGTAATTGTGACAACTGCTTGAAAAGTAATAAAGGAAGTGAAATTTAGATGAATTTTGCCAGTTTTTTTCTCTCAACGTAGCCCATTTATCGATTCAAACTAGTAGCTTAGTCAATAACCGTGATAAGTACCCGTTGGTTTTGCGAACCCCGGATTCCACTGCTTTGACATCTCCTAGGCGAAGCAATGCGGCACGGCGCAGCGTAGCGATGGAGGTGGGCGGTGGCGACCCTAGTTAGCGTCACAATGCGGTAGAGATGGAGGCAAGCAACGGTGGGGCTTCGTTTCCTCTCCCCTTCCTGTTCCCCTACCTCGTCATTCGGGTCAGCCCAATGCCGTGTTGGTGGTGGACGGTGCAGCGTCCCCAGCTGGCAGGGTGAGATGGCGGAGATGGAGGCGGGTAGCTGCTGGGCAATGGTGCGGAGGGCTTCCTCTCCCTCCTCCCTCCCACTCGCTTCCTCCTATCTCACAGGGCGAGGCGAGGAGTAACTACATTGGAGGTGGACGGCGGCGTTGGCCTTGGCTGGTGGGGGTCATGGTAGAAATGGAGGCAGCTAGTGGCAATGGTGTCGACAATGGAGATGAGAGGCACGGTGGGGCCAGAGCTCGGTGTTGATGGGGGCGTTCTGAGAGGTGGATGGGTTGGCATGGTGGCGCACTAGTGGTGTGTGCAGTAGTGGTGATAGGGCCTAGGTGGCGATGGTGATGTTTGTGGTGGTGTTGGTAGAGGTGGTGGTTGGTTTGCTCAGTGGTGGTGATGGTGGCTAATCAGCTCAGTGACAAACTAGGGGCGAAGCCGAGCGCCATTGGCAGCACCAAGGGTGGTGGTAGAGGTCAGCGACTAAAACGGCATGGCGGCGGTGGCGGCAGCAGCACCAAGAGTGGTGGCAAACATCAGTGACAAAGACGGTGTGGTGGTGGTGGTTCCACGATGAGATAGGCTGTGATGGTAGCTCATTAAAGATTATGGTTTGTGACGATGATTCGTGTTGTGGCGGTGGCTCTCTGGTGAGATAAGATGCAGTAAGCTTGGTGGAGATCATGGTTTGCGGCAAGGATGGTGTGGTGGTGGCAATTCTTCGGTGAGAGAAGCTTCGGCGGCTTGACAGAGGTGAGGTTCTACGGCGGTCATGAAGGGGCAGCATGATCGCTTTCGCGCGATGTGGCGACGATTTTCAGAGAGATAAGCTATGGCGGCTTAGCGGAGGCGGTGCTTTGCAACGATGATGGGTGATGGACACATTCACGCCAAGGAGGCATAGATTGTTCGCCAGATATGAAATTGACGCTTGGTGACATGAGACGGTTGGATAGACTAGCTTAGTCCCCTTCCTCCGCTGATGGTAGAGCGAAGGAGTTTTTACGGTTGCTGCAACTTCAACGAGATGGCGTGGTGGCGAAAAGGCGGGTTAGCTTTGCATCCCCCAATGTTTGAAATGTTGAGGAAAAACTTGAAGCAATCTTCTAGTCTTTTCTTTTTGGTTGATTGTTTTTGTGTGTACCTTGGTTATGAGATGTGCATCGTATACACTCGTGCAATATTTGGCAGTGTACATCTATTTATGGATATAGAGATCAGATTTCTATCCATTATCTTAAAAAAAAATGAGACCTCCATATTTATCCTAAGCTTATCCTAGTTTAATTTGAATCTTATCCTAGCTTTTTCACTTAAATTCTTGTATGAAAAACCATTAGTGCCTCACTACGCAATGTCCGGGGTGCACCGCCAATCTGCCATGCCGCTATGTACGATGTCCAGCGGCGTATCATCGTCCTACCGATCACTGCCGCGGTTGCCCGCAGACGACGCCTAGAGTGGATCGACTCGGGGCCGGCGACGCGGGTCGATCTCTCGGGAGGCGGGACGGGGGCCAATGAGCTCGGAGGCGACGTCCTCAACGGCGGATCGAGCGACGATGAAGGCGATAGGGCCATTAGTTTCTCTACTGGAATAAGTTCATTTTTGGTCCCTTAACTTGAAAGCGAGTTCGATTTTCGTTCTCGAACAGAAATACCAGATACAACGGGTCCCTCAACTGTTAAAACCGGTGCAACGGGTCTCTCAACGGGTCCCATGGCAGTATAGCAAGGTGGTTTTATCCGACGTGGCACTTTGATTTGACCTGTGTCAACAACACTTAGTCAGCATGGACTCGCACATCAGCACCTCTTCACCTATTTCTCTCTTTCTTCCCAGTTCCCGTCTCAGCGTGGGGAGAGCAGTGAGAAGCCGGCGGTGGGCAATGATGAGGATGGCGGCCGACTGCTCGTGACGAGGACGAGCCGACGAGAACTGGGCGGTTTTGACGGAGGGCACCTCGGGCGCCGCCTCGAGAATTGCCCACTGGAGCGTCGGTTTCCTCGCTAGGCTGGTCGCCCTCTGCCAGGGCGCCATGGCCTGCCGTGCCGGAATCTCTGCGCCGCACTGCAGATCTTGATCACCATGCTGCAGTCCGTCACAGCTGAGGCGTCGGTCGTTGAACCAGGACCCACCGAAGCCTGCTCGTCTCACCGGCTCCATCTCTTATAGTAAAAAACAAACTGAAAAACGACTAAGCGACATGACCGGTTCTGAAACAACCAAGCCGTAATGCATGCCAGAACCTCGACAACCACGCCCTCTTCGCGCAGTCGCGCGCTCCGTGTCGGCCTCGCCGAACTGGGAGTAGCAGGGCGCCGCACGAGCTGGTGGGCATCGAGGACTCCACACACGCGCATCGCTCGTGAAGGTGGCGCCACCCAGCGCCGCCGTACGTCACGGTGTACAGGCTTGCGGTGCCGAGCCGACGGCACCTGCGGAGACGGTGAGCGCCGTGGAGGCGTCGCCTTTGCCCCCCGCCGGAGCCGGTCGACCCCGCCGCCGGCCTTCTCCTCTCTGCTCGCCGCTTAGGGTGATGATAACAGCCGAACGGGAAGGAAGAGAGAGATAGGTGGATAGAAAGGTAAAGAGGTGGCCCACTGGCTTTTGGGCCAACTGATGGGCCCGTGGGCCGTGGAAGGATGCAAAATACTAGGGCAACACTTGTTTTATCTTGGTGGGGGTGGATTAGCGTGAGCTAGTAATACGTTCTGCCGCCGGCAACCACGCCACCACCGCCGCCGCCGGCAACTCCCGTCGTCCCGTCTCAACTTCCCCCACGCCACCGCCGCCGCATCTCCTCATTCTTCCCGCCGCAGCTGCGATGATGATGAATCCAGTGGCCGGTGATGCGGCTATCGGCCGGCAGTAGGGGCCGCCGGGGCTGACCGGCTTGGGATGCAGGAACGGCGCGCATGGCTGCAGGTTCGAGTCAGAATAATTTTCTTATTAGAGTTGGAAATAGAATCCGTGTCTTCTTAGTCCTGTAGTGGTGGGTGTCGGAATCGGCCCCGCCCCCTCTATATGATCCGGAGCCTTGCTCCTCAATAATCCTCCCTTAAGGAGGGCAATAAGGAAGCTGGAGAATTCGGATTTTTTATCAGTAAAGAGGGGATCGATGGAGCAGGTTTCTTCTTCTTCTGTTACCGGTGAATTACTGGAGCAGGAAGCTCCACCTTCGACCCCCGGTCTCGATTGGTCCCAGCTTCCCGCGGACCTGCTCATCCGCATCTTTGGCACGCTGGAGATCACAGATATCTTCAGCTCTGGCGTGGTTTGCCGCTCCTGGCATGCCAGCTATCTAGAGGCTCGCCGCCTCGGAATTTGCTCCAATAACCCCGGGCCGTGCCTTGTTTTCTCCTCTAGCGACCGTGATCCTAGTGTTGCCACCCTGCACAGCCTCACCACAGGGAAGGACTACTATGTTACCATGCCGGATCCTCCTTTCCGTACCCGCTATATAGTCGGGTCCTCGCATGGCTGGCTTATTACAGCCGACGAGCGGTCCAATCTGCTCCTTGTCAATCCTGCGACTCAGGCTCAGATCGCCATGCCGCCACCGGAAACAATAGCGAATGTCAAGATACGTTGCAATGGTGAGGGAATGCTAGATGGTTATGATCTTTTTACAATGGATATGTCATCACGAGATTTTGATGATGAGGCAGAGCCCATTGATCTTTCCTGGGAAGAAGGCCGCTTTTACTTCTACATGAGGGTTGTCCTGTCAGCAGATCCATCCAGTGGAAACTGCACTGTAATGATCCTGCATTTGCTACATAATCTCCTTTCCTTTGCAAGGGTGGGTGCCACTCATTGGACCTGGATCAATGTTAATGAGCTATGTTGGAACTATCATGATGTTTTGTACAACGATGATGATAGATTGTTCTATGCAATCCGAGGCAATGGTGATGTTCATGCTATCAATACAAATGGACCCTCTCCAATATTAAGGGTTGTCTTAGACGCCAAGAACTCACTCATCAATTGTGCCAAGTACATTGTTCTGTCAGAATCAGGTGATCTTCTTCAAGTATGGAGGTATTATCACTATGTTAATAATAACAAGGAGAGGAGGACCAGGGAATTGGTTGTTTATAAGGTTGATCTTGTTGAACACAAGCTTGTTGAACTTAAGGATATTGAAGGCCATGCATTGTTTATTGGTTTCAATAGCTCCTTCCTACGAGTAGAAGATTTCCCCATGTTGACTCCAAACAGTGTCTACTGTACAGATGATACAGTTCATTATATTTATCATTCAAGGTTTGGTTTTCGAGAGGTTAGTGCCTTCCATTTGGAAGATAGTAGTTTCACCGATCTGCTACCTATTGGTTCGCGGTTGAATTGGCCTCCTCCTGTTTGGTTTAGGCCATCATATTCTAAAGGTAAATAGAACCATTGCTTCGAGTGTTACATATTTATGTTTATTTACATCTCTATCTATTCATATTCTCTTGTGATAGGTAATATTACTTTTTTGCAAGTTATATAGAGTCGTTCTGAACAAAGAACTTTTGATTGAAACAGTGAACTTTGGCTATACATCACTTAGATCCATCAACATTTGTAGTTTTTTCATGTTTTGTTAGAGCAATCTTTTGTTTTTCAGGTACACTGTGCCATAATTCTGCAGATTGAGCAGTCACGAATTGAGCATATGCTGATCGCTGTACGGATCATGCTACTTCCTCTATTTCATATTATAAGACTTTCTAGCATTGCCCACATTCATATATATGTTAATAAATCTAGACATATATATGTACCTAGATTCATTAACATCTATATGAATGTGGACAATGTTAGAAAGTCTTATAACCTGAAATGGAGGTAGTATAAAATAATGTGTAAACAACGCATGCCAATGGCGCCTACAGCCTAACTTGTGTTACTGTCATGTTCAGCAATAATCTATTAATCATGCGTTTCATATCTTCGCTCTGTTGTGAGAACTTGTTAGTTGTTACTTTATTATGCAGAAAGCAAAGTCTTGTGCTGTGTCACTTCTTGATGAAAGTTTCTCTGTTTATGCTAAACGGAGCTCGGGGGTTTTTCATGAGATTGAGATTTGAGAGACCGCATCTTTTTTTAGAAAAAAAACGGAAAAAGAAAAGAAGAGCTGTGCGATATTGGGAGATGGTAAATAATGGATGTTGAGCTATAGCCTATAGGTAAAGTTTTTAGACGACCTAGTATTAATTTCTGGTTCTCGGTCTCTACGACAACGCATCCCCGTTCCCCAACTGTACGCCCTCATTGTCATGACCTGAGGCAGAGACTAATTGAGTGTAGGTAAATTTTATAAAACTATACGTATTTGCATACTTGAACCAAATTTTCGTAAAACTATAGATTAAGAAACAGACACTGCAGTGGAAGTAACAGTTTGTTCTACCAAAGCAGTGGCCCAAATATCACAACCCTTGTGCCATTTCAGAACCTGCTGCAAGAAAATTTCAGATAAATTGGTAGTTGAGGCAGGTGTCTGAACCCCAGTCGCCATTGTACTGAAATTTCAAAGACACTTTTCAGCCCAGTTGCACTGCATATCACCCCATTGAGCTAACCAATCCATCACAAGTATAGCATCATGACCCTCCAATGGTAGCAACTTCATGTTATAAGAGGAAGTGAAACCCTGAATCCACCAAGTGAATTTAGGAATATGATGTTTATAGGTAATGAATTCACCATTAGCCACCTTCACCAAAGTAGGAGGTATCTCCACCAAAGGAAGTCCCAAGAGCTGACCAAAATTATAATCCAGAAAACTGTGAGAGCTACCTGAGCCGCCAATTAACATGAGATGCACTTTGTTCTAAACCAAAGCCATTAACCTCATAGCCTGGGATGAGAATTACCAGCTATAGCAAAGACTGAAATGTGACAAAGTTCAGCAGCTTCATCTCCTTCCCTTGCTACTACAGCATCTAGTACTTCATCAGACAAAATTTCAATTAGTTGTAGAGCTTTCAGATGACTTCCAGCTAAAGAGCATTTGTGATAAGGGGAATATTTTTCACCACATTTGAAATATAACCCATTAGCCTTTCTGAAATCTTTAAGTTGTTTAGCCTTCCATAAGTTCCTTTTTTCAAACTTAATAGGAGTGTTAGATGCAGCAGAAGAGGAGTTGGACTTATAGACAAAAGTAGGAACTACGGGCGAAGGCCTAGCCCTCGGGCCGACAACAGCAACACCCGCAGGCGTCATATTCCTCTTGGGGCGTTGTTGCGTCTCTTCTACCCAATGGTTTCTTTAGGTGAAAACCACATCTTGATTCTCTAGGATGGACGGACGGCGGTGCTCTTAGCATCGTTCTCTTCTTTGAGGCGTCATTCAGAAGAACCATTTATCTGGGGTGTTGTGTGCTTGTTTTTTTTCAGTAGCAGGATCAAACGTAGACGCGTGGTGTGGTTGTCTTTTTCTTTTTTCCTAACTATGTCTACCGGGACTATAGATTTGTATTTTTTTTTGTGCTATATCAATAGAATCGTCGTGCGGGTTGTTTCAAAAAAATGTTTTATACAAACCAAAATACCTGCAATCTATTACAGTAGATGTCTCTATCGTTTTCAAAGTATAGATCCAATCAGTCAAAAAGATATAGTTAAACCATGATATCAGCATCATTAAATGATAAGAATTTGAACATCTAAAACTTGACAGCTAACGAGCTGATCAAGAGATCCAATGTTCTTCGAGGACAATATGTTCCATATGATGTTCTCTTCACATGGATTACGCTCCATGTTAATACATAATGCGTTGCACATGGCGCGGCCGCTGGGCGATGCCATGTAGGTTAGTACGCACGCTGGAAATTTTGTGAAAAAGTGTAATTCGATATAGGTTCCTCACGAGCGGTTCCTCTAAGCTGACTTTCAAAAGCCAGATATTACATGCGAAAGAGAGAAAAATCGTGAATTAGGGCTGTGCTATAAAAGTGGAAATCTATGGGCTTTTTTCGCAAAAGAATGCCCACTAACCCACTTACCCCCAAACCTTCACCACCGCCACCCTAGGGATTATACAATCTTTACTAAAAATGTTAGTAGTGGTGATGTCCATTCCCACACCATACCTACCACTAACATCTAGAAAAAGGTGTGGTGTGGGAATGAACACCACTGCTATTAACATTTTTTGTATAGATTGTATAACCCCTAGTATCTCGAGAGTGCCAGGATTCCCCTCACTGTCGGCTCGAGGTGGGGTTGGTGTGACGGGCTGCAATGGGGATCCATAGTCCTTGGAGCAGGTACCGCGACACGAGGGTGACTGAAAAACCAGACCGTGACAAGTCTCATGTGTTGGGACTAGGCTCATGTGTTAGGTACGTCATGGAGTGCGGGATTAAAAACGTACATCCATTGTAGTGTGAGTAAACCAATCTATTCGAATAGCCGTGCTCATGGTTAATGAGCGTCAGGACTTGTACTGCTCTTGACTAGCCTCATAAGTTTTAATCTACCTAGAATAGGATAGGAAATGAAGGTGTGACCTTGCTCGACGGACGAGAAGGTCATTATGGTGTTGGAAATGTGGAAAACATGATGCAATGGCAAACCGGATCAAGTGAGGCTTGGGGAAGGTGGATGAATCCTCGCGGATTAATGACAATTTCAACTTAACACCGTTTTTAGTTAAAACTGCTAAGTCATAGGTTTGTGAAATGATTTGCGAAATCTAGCTTTATGCAAAGGAACCAAGCCATCTTTGAACCCATGTGAGCACTAAATGCATTATGGTGGCTTCTTGAGTAGGTTGGTACTTACCCTTGCTTAATTAAATCTTTTAGAAGGAGAAGTTGGAGCCATCCGTATATGTGCTATGCTGATGAAAAGGTGTCGAAGACGGTGGAATAAGGATATAGGTTCACCACTCGTTGCCTGTGGAATAAGATAGACCGTCGCTGTTTCGCTTCCTCTACCTCATCAACTTCTTTTGGTATTTCGTGATGTACTCGACCATGCTTGGTCTATTTGGGTCAACTTCTTTTGGTATTTCGTGATATACTCGACCATGCTTGGTCTATTTGGGTCCCACTCGGGCAAACCTTATATTATTAATATATTGTAGAACATGTATGACGATGTCAGGTTTACGATACACAACTTTGTCATGTGTGTACCATCCATTGATTCAGAGAATAGTATTGTAAACACATGGGGTGTCCGGTGTAGAAAACCGGAGGCCCAAAATTAGCAAGTAGTACATGCTATTTACTGCAAGAGTCAGAGCTGTTCAGAGTTTACATAGTGTAGCGTTATGGGATCTATTTTGCTTAGGGTGAGGCTCCAACCAAACAGCAAAATTCTTCGAGGCGACTACAGATCGGGCGCCTAATTTTTTCTTTTAGAAAAATCGAGCGCCCATGTCATCATGACGTCACCCTGCATGCATGCATCTAAGCAAACTTTAAACTATTTTTTCTCTTAAATTATTTATCCAAATCATGATCCGATTGCACAATTAAATCCGTTGCAATTAAATTTTTAAAACAAGACCACACATGAATATAATCCGATGAAAAAAATTAGCTTATTATTGAATTATTTTTAAATGTTGCATGATGTTGCACCAAATATATCGGAATTGTTTCACTAAGTAGATCGAAAATGTTTCAATCGTTTAAAAAGCTGAAACACAACAAAAAAATCGGACGTTGTTTCACGTTATATGAAAACAATGTTTCAGCAAAAGCAACAGGATGTTTCAATTCACTGCATCATCTAGTATATAGTGAAACATCATGAGTACACTAGGTGAAACATTTTTGATAGAACAAAAATGAAAGTTTCCATAATATGTAGGTGATTTGTTGCAACGGCGTGCATGGTGGGGACACATGGCGGGGCCTGGGCGGCATGCGTGTCGGGTTGGGGGAGGGAGGCACCCGAATTTTGCTGCCCCCCCTTGTGGCGCCCGATTGTAGGCGTTTTCTGAAATTCTTACTCCCTCCGTGCTGATAATAATTGTCATTTTAGACAGTGGTAAGGTTAAATTTGAGAATCTTTAATTATAAATCATTTTTAAAATATTTGTCTTTCAAATATGGTGACGGCATTTATAGATTAGTCTTAAAAATACTTTAATAAAATCATATATTTGTTAACACTTATATATATATTATAATAAAAAAATGGTTAAAGTTGTTTTTTAAAAACCGTGCTCTTGTCCAAAACGATAAGGATTATCAACCTGGAGAGAGGACATGCCTGACCAGGCAACATCATCATAATTTCTCGGGCATAAGTTACTCAGGTAGCCAACAAAACGGGCTCTATTTCTCCGGTTCTCCCATGCTGAAGTATTTCTCACGATAATAATGGGCATGTGTCTGTATAAGGCCATTCCTAACCCAATGACTAGGATGATGTCTGTCGGTGATATGGGACCGGGAGTATCATGACTAGAGGCTTGAGGCAGACACAATCGCCCACGTGGCCTGGCACCTTCGGGGACGTCGGGCCCGAGGGTGAGGTGTCCGCCCTCCTCCTGATTTCCCCCGAGGGGGGGTCGGGTTGCGCTTGCCCTGGCCCCGAGGGCCGGGGCGCCCCGACCCCCTTTAGGAAGTCTGCGCCACATATATGGGATAAGTGAGCACAGCTGTGCTCACCTAACAGCATTTAATGCAGTCTGGTCAGGCGTGTCACGCTGTACGCAGTGCAGTACGGCGCGTTCCTTTATCCGGTCTGTGACCAGTCACAGACCGGTCAGATCACGGGTTAGGTGGCAGCTGGCGGTCTGGCGCACGCCTTGCCCCGTCCCGTCAAGACGAAAGCCTCTAGGCACTCGTCTCAAGCCGGAGTTAAGCGTGTTATCTCTTAGAGATGACACGTTAGCCCCGATCGATATATGCCAGGCTTCATCCTAACCATTACAAGCAAGATGTTGTGTGAAGAAGGGCAAACATGCACGTTGCCAAG